ATTGAAAACAAAGTATTCTTCCCCATCATTAGTCGCAACCCTGCGAAATTCGTTCATCGTGGTGAGGTTACTACGTTTGGGGGGAAATTTCTTAGAACGACTTGCAGAAGTTCTAGCTCTTTTATTTATCATTTTATCAATCAATAAGTGTTCGTAGGTTAATAAAAATCCACATCAGATGGTAAGTAGAGCATTATTTTGGTATTAGCAGATGCAAGGGACCAACCTTGCGATGTTGAACAGAATTCAGAATGGAATTTGTTTCGTTGTTCATCGTAAGTGGTAACAATATTCTGGATACCGCTCAAGTAATACAAATGTAGAAAGCAGGATTACTGTTCACTGGCAGCGCTTCAATGCAATACCTTCGAGAAGTGAAGAAAACAGAAGCAGCCAGAAGATAATAATAATTCAAGCGAACAATATGCGATAACCGCAGGGTTTATTCTCCTTTTTTATTACTAGGAATTTCTAGTCATTGAGTTTTTATAGTTTTACATACTAACGGTTAGTTCAAGTATATTGTAGTAATCAACAACCAAAGTAAAAGATAACAATAAAAAAGTAAAGATTGGCGAAACGAATGATGGTTTTCACTCTTATATGGGGTAATATTGGGGATAGAAACTGAAGAAGTGAAATCCAAATGCCAGAGTACATAAGTTATTTAGAAGAAAAGAGGAAGTATAGTAATAATGATTTATGCTGTTGTTCTGATTTATACAGTTAGATGTCCTCCTAAAGTAGAGAAATCGTATTATGAGCCAGTTTTCAAAGAGTTTGTACACAAGCTGTTACATACAGACAGCTTTTATTTTTTATTTTATTTATTTTTTATTATTGCCATTATTTTTTAAGTAATTCATCCTCAGGAGCCTTAGCAATAGAGTGCATTCCCACAGATAAGGGTGGTCCTCTTAAGTCCCCACCATCATATTTGCTGAATAGCAGTCATAGCCCTCCCACATTTTAATCTGCTAGGCCGTGGCGAAATACTCCTTTTGTTTTTAGAAAAAATCCTTTATTATTGCTACGTGTCATATAGACAGTTTTTGCGTTCACAAGCTGACTCAACGGAACTCATGGTATGAACGACTACTTTCAGTCAGCCATTTTGTAAGTATCGTCACCAACAGCATTTTAAAATGTAAATATACAGTAAAGAAGTAAGGGAATCAAAGATTTGCAGTTTACTTTCAAGATTTTAGTTATTAGCATAGCAGAGAAGATGCAATATGAAATGTTACGAAGGAGAAAAATATATAAAGCTACATAGTTATGTATATATATGCATAAAAACAGACATTAGTTAATTATAATAGATGGATCAGAAGAATTCGACTACAGAGTGTTATAATAGCATAACAGTAAAGTAAAATCCGTTAATACCTAAAACTCACAGTGTGGTGAAGGGACAGTAGTTATTTATAATAGATGGTTCAGAAGAATTCGACTATAGAGTGTAATAATGGCATAACAGTAAAATAAACTCCGTTAAAGAAGACCTTCCCTGCAATTCGTGATACTTTGTTCAAACCCAACTCCATATTTTTCGCGGGAGTCATCAATACGGCAGTCATCGTCTCATCGTTCGCTGTTCGTTGGAAGAAAGAAAACTATCAAAGTATTGTTGTGATTTATTGTTGTAACATTTATTCTTAGACCTTGTGTATATTAACCTTTTTTGATTTACAGCTTGATTCCACACTGTATTTTCGGTACAAGTATGGAATTTTCAGCATGGATATCGGTAGCCCAAATTTTGCAGGCCGACCATAGATATCAGGTGTGCGTCGGTGCGGGCTCGAATCCCGGACAGTGTGCATGGTCGGCGAGAGTCCTAACCACTGTGCCACCGACGCACACCTTATTGTTGGTTACATACTGGCGTAAGAATAAAGGATTCTCGAGTCACTAATCTGTGTTCTGTTTTTTTGCGTTGGCTATTGCCCATTGTTTCTGAAAGTCTTCCAAAGACAGCGTGAGTTCCAGTGTATTAAGACCTGGACATTGATACTTTCAAAAGGATAAAACAACGATTTTCTCTCGCAACTTGCAACCTATCTGTTGGGGCATCCCGCCGAAGCTATTGCAATCATTGGGTATGTATGGATTACTAGACACTATACACCCTTCTAGATATTCGCTTCCCTGAGAGCCTTTCGTCAAGAATGGCTGAGTTTCGCTATCAGACTTTTCTATTCCAGGGGCAGGATGTGACATACTAGCGAACTTGATCATTGCTTGGTTGACACTGCCATCCACCAGTCTCAAAATATCACCAAACCCTGACTCTAAACCATCTTTCCCTAAGCGGGAGCTGATATTTGTGAACTTTGTAGGCGGACTGGTAATCTCTTAGTGACTGCCTCAAAACGGAACTCGAGGTCAATTTGTCCATACCGTCGGGGGAGATAAGGGTAATTCTGTACACCATTAAACTATTCAAAACTTCAGCGAGTTCATCGAGTCGTCGTTTAAATGCGTACCATTACCCTTAGCCGTCTCATTTTCACTCCTGGACTTCCTAAAAGGCCTCCCAAACCTTTGATATAATATTCTCATAGCTTCGTTGTATCCTTCGCTTGGGAACAAAACCTTGCAGCAACACTAGTGCATTATCGAAACAAATACATCAGTCTCGTTTCTTCATCAAGTCCGCAATCACGCAGCATAATTTCAATCTCATTAACGAAATGAGGATAATCTGCCAGTTTTCCAACAAAACACCTAAGTATCTACTCTCCTTGTTTAACTCTACATGGCCATCGACTTTATCATTCATAACTTCAGACAACTAATCACAAACATTGAGCATATCATCACTTACCTTCCTTTTCGCCTGCTTCCACGCCGCCCTGTTCTTACTTTGGCCCAGGAGCTGTTGAATGTTACCAAACTTGAGTTCCGATAACCCTTGTTCAAAGACTCGAATGAACAAACAATGCTTCTACTCCTAGAAGAAAGAACAGATTCTGAAGGAGGCCGGTCAGGCACTACCAAAGGTCAGAAACTATCAACTATCCAGATCACTGAGATCCTGGAACTCTCACTGGTTTCAGAAGATTAGGCTTAATGCTTAGAACAGTACGCACTGTAACTGACGCAGCACAACAGAAAGCTTAGGCAAAACTACTAATTACTCTTAATGAGATAATGAAACGGACTTACAGTAGTAAATCAGTGCTAAAGTCTGTAAATAAACGTAAATATAATATACAGCAATACTTCTAATTGTATTTCTCCAACCTTCTGCCAACCAGCAAACGATTAAGCAATGAAAACCCTCTTGTCACCCACCAAATTGAGACTACCTAGAATAAACAAACTATTCAATTTTCACCAACCTCGAAAATATCTTCACTTTATCCCGGATTAATAAAACATTTCGACGTACTAATTGATTCTGTTATATTAACTACCTTATGTATAAGGTAATATTTAAACCTTCTCTATAAATATTGAGTATGTTCCTCCAATAACACTGGCGTTTACTCATACAGTTCGTGAACCGCGCACATATGTGAGGGGTGAAAAATGAGGTGTAAGAGCTAGAGAGATGATGGTGCTGTCATATGTGAGGTGTCCAGTGACTGGGTAGATTAAGAAAAGGACTGTGTTTACATTGTGCATATTGGCTGGTAGTTTGAAAACTTGGTTAAGAATTGGCCACTACGTAAGTGTGGCAATTCCTTATGGCACCCAGATTGCCGTGATTTCTGAGTTTGTGACTGATTACACGTGCTACTTTAACTAATGGCCCAGGGAGGTGCAAAAGAGGCCTTGTCCACTTGTGATATAGCATGAGGTTTTGTGTAAGCCATCTTTAGCAGAGTGGTTCTGTCTTCAGTCCCTTGAAATGCATTCTCAACCAACTTTTAAAGAGGTGAAGTTAACTGTTATCATTTCGGTCTCACCGATCCGCGGGAATGGACTACTTATATTACTTCAGGTCTGAGTAACTCGCTCGACAGGTGCCCATTATGATTATCATAAACCTAGATCTTGTCTACTCACCTGGATGATCTTAGCACCGGCCCACCATAAATCAGTAGCCGTGCTTCCTCCTATGGAACTGCAGGTGATTGGGCAAAACTTCTGCAGAATGCAATATGTTATACCGGTGGGTGGCAGATGTTTATATGGAACCGCTCTGAATGTAAGTTATGTAATGGATTCGAGCTAAGGAACAGGTCGGGGGGGTGGATATGTAAATGGTGATTTCATCACAGACAGTGAGCTTTTGAGCTAAATTTCATGCCTTACCTTAATGACTGAAGTTATCTCTTTTGGACGCTTCAAAACGACGTCATACGTGAAATATTTACCACTTAAATAGTGAAACCAAGAGCCAAGTGGTTCATAGAGAGCTTGCCACAAGATATCGGAGGCAGTGTATTTTTTTAATGGCTAATATTTATGCAGGGGTAACATAATGGTGAATATTCTGTCCTAACGCCAAGCAAATATAGGACAAACGTCTGGTAGTTTCCCTAAAGTGATCGTCCGCAATGAAAGCTGGTGCCAGTATCTGGACTCACGGTGTTATATTGGTCAGCATTTCAAACCAAATATGCGTATGTTGGCTCGTATAGTGCTGTTACCCCAGGCAAACATTTTATGTGTTTTCATGGTCGAATCTTTACCGGCAATGGTCTCTTTTCCAAAAATAGATTACCTAATGTGAAGGTGTTATTCATTTTTTTCATCACATATACGCAGGGTAACTAAAAAGGGGAAGAGCTAATATGAACACAGGAATCATTCGGATGAAGTAGTTACTGAAGTATATTGCTCAGAAATAAATCCGGTGTTGTTCAAGATAAAGAAATACACAACGATAAAACAATGTTTTATCAACTTCCTTCATGCCAAAGCCTATTGAATTTATTGAGTTGTGAATTTTGTTTGTATACTCCAATACCAAAATTCAACTAGAGACTGACTCGTTTACAAAATCAAAAGTTCACAATAAACGTGTTTTATCTTGATTTGTATATATGCTGTCAGATAATCAGGTGCGAAGGCAAAGCCGGCCAAATGTAACTGAAGTCAACGGATGCATGAAGGACAAACAAGTGTGTTTGTTTGGCATCATGTTTTTTTATTTTAAGGAAATTAAACGGTTGGATCGTGTTGCCAGAAAGTCACTAATCGACCAACGATATAATTTTTTAATTGATAAAGTTTCACTCCATTTTAAAGTTGATAAAGGATACGTTGTGGAGTGCTTACTGGATGGTGAGCAAGTAAGTTTATTACGGTTATTTACACTTTTAGGTGTATCTCATCAAGAACTTTTTTGACCCTGGCGGTAGGAAGGCTCTATTCTTTGGTTTAAAGTCCGAGAAATCAGGTACGGCACCCTTCTTTTTTAATTGGTTTATAAAGATATTAACGAAAGGATTGGTGTATTTTCGAGAACTCCAATCACAGTCCGGCCGCGTATCTTCGTGTCGACGGGTACTGAACTAAGCCGTCCTGGTCCTTGTGTAATCTTCACACGAGTTAATTCGGATCTCGAAGTGACAGCAGAAAACATATCAAAAGTATTAATTCCGTATTTTTGTTGTTAGGGTTGTCCGAAATGTTGTGAGAAATGTTTTTATCATGACTTACTTCGAATTCATTTGATCATAATTTTGTACTTACAGATTCATTCTAACAGCCTTTTATTTTCGGAATGGAAAAAGGGGTGTCATTAACAATATTAACTCGAGTGGGATTAATCAAGGATTTTTGCCCCATATTATGAAAAGGGCACTAGATTTTGTTAAGTTAGGTCATCTGTTATTATCTTGTCAAACCTTTGTCTGTATTTTGCGAAATGTAGCACTTTGAACTAGTGATCAGTTGAACATATTTTTGTGTGGGTCCGTACAGTTTCATCAGACTGGTTTAGTTAAGTGAATAGCAAAAGTGATTCACTAAAAGGCGTTTTACCATTGATGCAAATATCTTTCATGAGATTTCAACCATCTTGGATAGTATAATTTTTTTGCATGTCCATTAGTTATGAATCTTTATGGCTTCGGCATTTCCACTAGTAGCTGCTTACAGCTTCAAAGAGTTACATTCTGGGTCAAATATTTTACATTGAAGAATGAAATATTAATCTGAGCAAGTTGAAACAAAACAAGTTGATGGTTATCTGTCATTTTGATTTTTGTAGTGATTTCTTACAGTATCACTAATTATTCTCTGTATACACTCAAACTAAAGAATGTTTAAGTGACTCGAATGCCTAAATTAATTTACTGGTAACTATGTCAAATAATTCATAGAATGAAAACATTTATATCAAGTGTATTTGTTAGTGTTGGTGAGTAGCAGTTTGTTTCTTGTTCGGCGTTTGCCTATTTAAGTGATAAGAAAACTGGTGAGCATTATTAGAAGGCGGAGATTATCTGAAAAATTTGATGTATTTGCGCAACAGACTTCAAACTATCTGGTCGCAAATTTACTTGTAAAGTCAATTTGTATGAAATAAAAGGCCAATTCAAATGCACAAAGTGACTAAAAGGATTTATTTATTAGTATTCTTAAATCATTTTTGTCACTTTGTCTGCTTTAATTGCTCTTTATTGTTTTCATATATATTGACATGAAAAGCGAATGTGTGAGTGTCAGGTTGTTTGAAATGTATAGCGCAAATACATCACATTTTTCAGATATTTCAGATTGTTTTAAATTTTCAATAACTAAATTATGTTCGTCATTGTTCGCTAACTTGTGTTAAAATTTATTTTTTCTCACTTAACCAAAATGTTAGTAGGAAATTGGGCTTTCCTGCTTACCTTTGTTACCTCTGTGTGTTTTCAGGATACAATCACCTTTCTCAAATACTTCTTACAAATGACTCATTAGTCTTTTTTTAATTATAAAGAAAAGTCTAGTCGATGAACAGGACTACACTTTATTTTCCCAATAAAATATTCATTGTGTGACACAGAAAGTAAAAACCTACACTTTCAGATGTCTATTTGATGCCGTATAATAATATTAATCTATGGAGAAAAATAATAATTAAATTACCAGACTTCCCTTAAAATGGCCTAAGTTGTATCCTTTAGCTTCACGGAATAACGGAAAAAAACAATTTTAGTCAGGTTAAATAAAAGGCAGTTGATGATTCCCGCCTTCTGTTTAAAGTTAATAGTTATCGGCTAATTATTAACAGAGAAAATCAATAGCGAATAGCTAAGATTACCTTTTTTGGGATATACACTATAGTTAAAAAGCCTTATTTCCATACGGAGTAAAGAGAAAGAGGCAAACACACAGTAGAATAGAGTTCCGAACAGTTAGAAAGTGTGATTTTGAATATTCTTTGTATATTTATCTGGTTTCATATTTAAGTTCTATGTAGATGGTATTTGTTTATTTTTCAATTACCTTGAAAATCTGTTCTGGCTAAATGGAGGTGCAGGGAAGTGAATTAATGAGTCAACAAAACACTTCTGAATGTGTCTTGAGATCTTGAGTCCGCTCCGTCCTCCTTTATGGCTGGCTGTGAGACATGGCCATTGAGAGTGGAAGACATGAAAAGATTAGCTGTCTTCGATCATAGGGACCTGAGTTCTACCTCCCGTGTTCAGTTATAGATATAATAGTGTGAGCAGTATTGAGCTTAGGCATTGTTCGAGTTCTAGGTAAGGAGGTGAAGTCAATCCGCGAGGCTGTGAAATTACGTCGACTGAGATGGTTAGGACATGTGTTACGTATACATGCCTAGTAATCGCCTTCCTCGACAATGGGCAATGTTATCTGACATAGGATTCGTTAGACTGGAAAAGAGCTAGCCGGTGGTGGTCAAACCAAAACACGGTTTCACCAGTCAATGAAATCCACAACAGTTGGTTTAAGCCAGCCAGCCACGTAGGAAGGTGTAGACTGGATTACTAGTTGGGGTCCTCGGGACGGTAGAAACCAACGAAGGCTGGAAACAATCGGTGGTATGGCTCAAAATCGTTCTCAATGGCTGGCTGTCTCAGATGCATCCACTCCTTGTGACTTAGGATTTCCAATGAAATTATATTATTCTTCCTTATTACTATTCCTTTGTCTCATACCTCTGTTAATTGTCTCTATTTTGCGTTTCTTTTTGCTTTCTTCTCTTGTTTTGTGTGCTACAAGGAGGCAGTGTGGCGACTTGAACTGCCTCACATCGGTGCAAAGTTCTATGTCGAAAACAGACAGACAAACTACACCAGTATCTCACATCAATTAGCAAACCTAGGTGGTATGATCAACAGTTATACATTATCTGCCTTAAGTACTTCTGTAGTCAAACCATTGGATCCTGATGCGGCGTCTTACTTTAGGCTAGAAGGACAACTTTTGCATAGCTGGCTATAGTTAAAGAATTAATTCCTACATAGTATATAGTTACTGATCATGATATCATTATGATTCCCTTAGGTTCCAAGTGGAATATAGCTCTGGCTTCAACAACACATCTCCACTTTCTTCTATTTTCTACTGTCCACTTCACCTGAGGTCATGATTGCCCATGCTCTCTCATCTCCTCCTACAACTCACACGACCTCCTTCATGTCACCCTCTCGCCGACCACCCACTCGTCGCTTTCCATCGGGATTCCACTTGAGCGATGGATGGCCTGCATTCTGCGCGATGTCATTCGACAGCCTCTTCAACGTATACCCTCAATGCATTTCTAGTTTGTTGTGCTTATTTGTTGAGTGATCGGCTGGCTACTGGTTGGTTTGTTCCTCACCAGCCAGAGTTACTTGTTGCTGATTCAACCTGGCCGACCAACTGGATACTTGGTCTTCAGTATGGAGCCAGCCAGAGAATGTGGCAGCTGTTGACAGAAGTCTGCACCAGACTGTTCGTTGGAAATGCTTTTCGTGACACGCCCACCAAGTTTCCTTGTTATAAACAAGAACTGACTGGCTTCGCATTTGTGTTGGAAATCCGAACCGAATCGTGTCCCCTATGGTGGTGGTGAGGCGAAGTTCAGAAGATTTCCAAACTGGTTTCAGGTTGATGGAGGCTTGCGTATCATGATTTTCGTTCCGATTCTGGCTGGCTAGCTGGTCGGCCGGCCGTGGTTGATCGATTGACCGTGGTTGAAACGATGCTTTCTAGCGGGATAAGTGGAGGAAGGAATGCATTTATTCTCTTGCTTTGTGTGCTACAAAGAGGCAGTGTGGCGGCTTCAACTGCCTCACATCGGTGCAAAGTTCTATGTCGAAAGCAGAGAGACTTTATTAAATATGTTTAATAATGTAATATCCATTAGCTTCTAGTTACAGTTGTGTTATTAATTTTTATCGGTCCCCTTAAGTCTATATATACTCTCCACTCATTAACTGCTTGAATTGTTTCCTGATTGCTGGTTTCCAATGATTGACATGGAAATTAGGAGGTTGAATACTTAAATGCAGACTAATGTAAGATTTAAGATTTGGAATCGACAGCACAATTTCGAACAGGCGTATTTTAAAACAGCCTAGAACTATCCTTACAAAAATCATCAAGAACCACATGATGTCCCAGCGAGTTATGCTTCTACACTTTTCTCAATATTTGACAGAAAAATGTTTCTTGGAGAGGTGGTAACTATATCAGTATAATAAATAATAGTTTTGTATATAAAACGGATAAGTTTTTTGCGAGAAATAATGGTTTACGCACACTATAAATTTATAACTATACACCATTAGCCAATGTATTTTTGCTTTCCCTTGTTGCTTTTTCCTCATTTAAAACAAAAATTTATTTTTTTATTTATTTATTTAGGAAGTTAGTTTTCTGACGACAGATCTAACAGAAGATCTGTTGAATGCATTTGGAAACCTACTGAACTCCTTAATGCTACCACAACTGCAAACAGTTTCAGATAAGGCTGTTGTCATCGAGAAGACTGTTTCAGTTGATATAAACAAGTTGGACTTAGTTGAGTATACGAAGAAATTTGTGAAATTTCTTGAAGAATCATCAGAATTCTTAGCCAATCGAGTAAGTATAACCTAAAATTATTCTTTCCCACACATGTGTGATTACTTTATGATTACTATTTGCTTTAATTCTCTGAGAGGAACATAGGGCTTCAGCTGCACATCTCCATTGCTCTCGGTTCTCTGCTAAAGTTCTTACCTGGCTCCACGCCTCTGCCCACATGCTTTTATCTCCTCTTCACATGACCTCATCCAAGCCACCGTCACCCTTGGACGACCAACTCACCGCTTCCCCTTCGGTTGGGTTCTGCTCGAGCAATGGCTTGTCTAGAGATGTCACTTGATGGTTTGTTTTCTCAGAGTATGGCCAATCCATCTCTATTTCTTCCTGCTTATTTGTTGCACAATCGGTTCCTGCTGAGTTGGTTCGCTCATTGCCAGAGATCCCTCCCTGTTGATGATCTTTTCTGGCTGACCATCTGATCTTGAGTAGTATTGAGCGAAGACAGTTAGCTTTTGATGAAGGTCTGTGGTTTTTTTTTGAGGTGCTCTTTATGAGGCGCTGGCCAAGTCTCTGATCCGTATAGTGAGTAGCACTGACTGACTTCACATTGGAGTTGAAAATCCGGATCTTATTTTCATTTTCATGCTGAGTGATGTTGACCTCCACACAGACTTGAGAGTAATGAAAGCTTGTCTTGCTTTCCGGATCATCGCCATGCTGATATCCTCGTCAGTACCGTCTGCCTGTAGTTGAAACGATGCTTCCCGGGTAGGTAGGTAAGTAGGTAGGTGAAGGAGGTTGTTTCTTTCAGGTTTCTCCCATTTATGCTGGCTGATTGTTGTCCGTAGTTGTTGTTGTTGTTGTTGCTGTTGGTGTTGGCCAGAAATCTTCATCACCTCTGTTTTTTCTATGTTCACTTACAGTCCTGTCTTCTCTTGATGCTTATTCTGCCAACTTGTTTCTTTTCACTTGCATATCTTCCAGTTTACGCTACACCAATTTTTCAAGTAATTTTAAGGAAACTAGTGGTAACGATGACTGACCAATGTAACTTTTTAAATATGTTGTAGTGTTTACCTTAAATTTATAACCATTGCCAAGGATTTCTATATATCTCCATTATGGTTAAGATTTTATTTTGATAAACTGTCAAAGAGTGTAGTGTTACACAGTAATATTAACTGATGACGTTTCGAGCACAAATTATTGCCCATAATCATATCAAGTTACTCACACAACTTTCTTGTTTCCTTCATTTATATACATGTGTGGAATTGATGATTAGACATTTGAATACAAATCAGTAATATGGGATAATGTACATTCAGAAATAATAATAATATGAGTGTTATTGATCAATTACAATCACATGGGAAATAAGACGAGGGTTTTGATAGTCATAATAAGTAACTTCCTAGAATGTTGTGATGTACGTGAATTGAATTGAAATACAATACGATTTCAGATTATTTATTATCCTCCTGTGATTTCACTGACTGACTGACTGACTGACTGACTGACTGACTGACTGACTGACTGACTGACTGACTGACTGACTGACTGACTGACTGACTGGTGGTAATAATATCTTCCATGAATATATCTGGTATTTGCATGAGTCATTTCTGTTGCATGTGTTGGGCATAGACTCGGTGAACCGAGCAGGATTCAGTAATCAACCTCTCTCTCTCTCCACCTACATATATTACTTCTGAGAATCTTAACCCTCTCCCACCATGCTATTTTGTGATTGTGAGTTACTGAATGCAGTGCAATGTAGTAGTGAGAATTTTTCTAAATTACTTATCCTATCAGGTGGGGTCAACCATTCTTACCTTAGCTAAATTCGTAAAATCTGATTAGCACCGATCTACTAGTTTGACCTATATAGTTGACCTAACTCACAGTCATTGCAGGGTATTTTGTAAATTATATTATTTTGTCTAACTGGGTCCACCGGATCTTTTAGCCTACATAGCTTGTCCTACATGAGTGAGTTTGTAAGTTCGGATGCCGCCACCCTAATTCCTGCTTTATTGAGAATCCTACGTAGGGAGGGTTTCAGGTGTCCCCTCCTTATATGGTATAACTATAGATGACTTATACTCTCTCTTATTTATGTTATCATTACTAGTTTCATAATTATTTTTATTTTGCTTATGGCCTTTGTCGATCTTCCAAACCAATTTTATAGAATAGCTAGTTATTTAACACCAACGCTTCTTCTATCTGTTTCATTTCACCAATTAGGTCTTTTTTTGTACCACTTAGTGCTACTGCTTGGTTTGCTAGACACTTAACTAAGCCTGCCTTCACAGATAGATAACGGATGTGATGAATTAAAGTCTAAATATCTATTAGCAGAATGTGTTGGTTTGCTTGTAAACGCTAGTGTGCAGTTTACCTAATCCTATATATTTCAAATTCAAAGAACACGGATTACCTTGTGATTCTAAAAACTTAATACATGGTCCGGAAACAATCAATCCGTCAAAAATTGTCAAAATACTTCCCTTACCCGATTCACTAACAAGCAAGTGTACCAGAGAAGTCACTCTAAAGAAGATTAGGATCGTTAGGAGTGTTAGTTGAGAGCGAAAATAGTGAAATTACCTGAAATGGATAGTTTAGTGTGTATAGCCTTTCACTTCTGTGAATTAATTGTTTTCAACTGCCATGTGCCATCACATAGTTGCTGTATTCAGAAGAACATGGGCTTTTTATCTCGATGTTTATGCTAGCAGTTCTTAATATCAAAATTATATTCTTACTCAGGTAAATATCCTAAATTGGGACTATTTCGCACAAAAGTTGGACAGTGATTGGTTTTATCCTTCCTTAGGGGAATACTTCTATGACTAACCCGACGTCTAAGTCGATAGCCGAGAATCACACAACAACCTACTATTAGTCAAGATTCCATGAGTTCGCTCATTCTTGGACACATGGATATTTCTGTCGTCAGATAAAGTGTGTAACAACTGGCTGGACAGTATTCAGAAAACTTTTCCTCTCAGGCTTTGATGCTTCTCTGAATCAATCGTCTAAACACTCTGAAAAAAGGTCATTTTAATCACATGATCTGGAGGTTATCGGGTGGCATATCTGACGCATATCTAACAAAGACACCCATCTTGACGCTAGTTGATCTCTGTTATAAACTTTTGTTTGTCGTAACCTTAAGTATAACATGAAAGACAAATTCATCAGCGAAGAAAATGCTTCTTTCTTTACCGACGGAATCATCTTCACAGACTGCCCTGGCTGTACAGTCGTATTTATACTCACCAAAAATATATAGTGGTCTATGATTAAGTAATAGGGGTGGGGGTGACATAATTGATAGAATTACTCAGAAGTGGCTTTAGAAGTAAAACGAAAATTAAAAGTTGTAAATTACGTGGTACTCAACAGCACAAACATCGAAATTGGATAAGGTTAAGATTGTTATTCAGTGAGAACAAAGGTGGTAGTTGAATGTCAATTTAACAAGTGTGAAGAGGGTGTGAAAATGTACAAAAGATCGATCTACAGGAAACCAACATGGAATGGTCAGTACACAAATTTCCATAGTCGGGTCTCTTTGAAAAGAAAGAGAAACCTGATCTACTCCTTATCCTAAAGAATAAAAAGGGTACATTCCAATGATTCAGTCGACGGGGAACTGGAGTGACTCAGACAATTCCTCATAGCGAATAAAATATCCTCCAAGATTTATCGAGAAAAACATGAAGTTCAGGGAAAAGCCTGAAAGAATCCAGAAGATGACGAAGAAACTGCTATTTATGAGTGTTGAATTTAAAGGTGATAGTGCAGCTGAGATTCTGAAGAATCGCTGCTTATACAGATCACTGAGGAAAGCCTTCTTTGTGGCTGAGCTACGTATCAATTTCTACAGCCGACAAATCATCATTGGATGTGTGAAAGATAAACTGCCGCTTTGGGCCACCTCAATGTGTGTTTATAAATTCACTTGCTCGTGTATAGCTAGTTATATTGACAGCCCGGACAACTTGGCGAACACTTTCCAAACGCACGGTTAGCAAAGGGATAATGTGAGACACTTACTAGCTCAATTATCGAGCATTTGTTGAACTTAGGCCACGTAGCTCTACCAGAGTCGTCTTGCAAGATCATCTACAAGGTGAGGCCAAATAGTACAAAGGGCGTCAGGTTTCGGCTTTCGTGTATGGCGGAGGCGCTTATAAACCGTCAGTCCAACGCCGAACTCTCTATACAGAAAAAGTTTGTCCAGTCTCTTATTCTGCCTTGGTCTTAACCTCATCACTAGTCGTTCCCTGTAAAAACACTTTGATTTTTTCTTTTCCTTTTTTAATTTTCCTTTTAGTTTGCTTTTGCTTTAATAATTAGTTTACTATTATCACTCTCATATGTTCCCTGTTGTACATTTTCACACCCTCTTCACACTTGTTAAATTGACATTCAACTACCACCTTTGTTCTCACTGAATAACAATCTTAACCTTATCCAATTTCGATGTTTGTGCTGTTGAGTACCACGTAATTTACAACTTTTAATTTTCGTTTTACTTCTAAAGCCACTTCTGAGTAATTCTATCAATTATGTCACCCCCACCCCTATTACTTAATCATAGACCACTATATATTTTTGGTGAGTATAAATACGACTGTACAGCCAGGGCAGTCTGTGAAGATGATTCCGTCGGTAAAGAAAGAAGCATTTTCTTCGCTGATGAATTTGTCTTTTTTATTTTTTCCATGACTCAATGGGTGTTTTTCGGTGATTTAACTACAACACCTGTAATACATTAATGGTTTATATAACGTCTAATGCTGATGAACACTGTGTATTTTATTTAATAACCATGCGAAAGAAAAACAACTCCCTCTAAGGACGTATATCAGTTGACTTATTTTATCTTTACTCATATCTCATAGACGAAATCAACTTCGTCAAATATGCAGATGACCTGACTGTTTGGCTTCCCGTTAAGTCTCAGTCAGACTGTTTCAAATTAAATAGCTTCCTGTCGGACATCAGTCAGTGAACTTAACGACTTAGGAATCGACTTGTTACCAGGGAATAGTCTTATGGACATAGAATATGCAGATGACATAGTCCTGTTAGGGGAGGATGCTGACAAAATCCAGCAGAGTCTTCTGAACACTTTGAGCAGTAATCTTCGTATGTTTGGCATGCGATTCGCCCCTGCTGTCAAATGTAAGATGCTGCTATAGGACTGGACTACGTTAACTCCTAGCTTAGTGATACGGAGTGAAGTGATAGAACATGTTGACCACTTCACCTATTTGGGAAGTTGTATCAGCACCAACGAACTGATTGGCGACGAAATATCAGCACGGATCCAAAAATCTCGAGCTGCTTTCGCTGACTTACACGATCTCTGGCGTAGGCGTGACATCCGGTCATCAACCAAGGGACGTGTGTACTTCTCAGCAGTTCGCTCCGTCCTTGTCTATGGCTCTGAAACATGGCCAATACGAGTTGAAGACATGAAAAGGTTGACTGTTTTTGACCACGATCTCTTTCTCACGTTAGGTAGTATAATAAGGTAAGTAATGTTGACGTTAGGCGTAGAGTGTTGGACATAGAGGGAAAATCAATCGACGAGGCTATAAAGTTACATAGATTGAGATGGCTAGGTCACGTGCTGCACATGCCTAACCATCGCCTCCCCCGACGGGCACTACTAGCTGATATAGGTGAAGGTTGGAAAAGAGTAAGTGGTGGCCAAACAAAAACATGGCCTCATCAATCCATGAAATCCTTGACAGTTAAACTGAGTCAGGTAGGTGGGAGATGCAGACTTCTGGGTTGGGGCCCTCGGGACTGACTCTAGGAATCAATGACTGGAGACCATAGGTGACACATGGTTCAAAATCGTTGTCAATGGCCAGCGCAGATGTATTCAGTCTCTGTAATCTTTCATATTCCTCTCTACCATTACCCATTCTGTTTCACTTTTATACTTGTCAGACTGTATTGATTCTCTTCACTCATCTTCTTGTCTACCTCTGTGTGCTATTTGGAAGGTGGCAACTCGAACTGGTGCACTTCGGTGACAAGTTCTATGTCGAATCCAGGCAGACAGACAGACAGTGGCCTCATGCTGAATCCCTCAAAAATGCCAGACTACTGACTTCTCCTTTAAGCATAAACGAGATCTATAAACACTAGTAAGTACTCAAGAAGCTTGTAGCATTGAGGGGATCAACATTGAAACTAAGTTTAATGCAAAGCACCTTGGACTAGTTCTAGCTTCCGAGCCCACTTGGACATCTCATATCCTAACGATTTCTAAGAAAGTGTTCCGTCTAGCCTACTACATTAAGAAACTTAGACTATCTGGAATCACCCAACTTTCACTCTACTTTCACAATTTGTCAACCCGCGTATCTTACCTATTCTACTTTACTGCTCCCCATTAGTCTTTCCTGGGCTACTGAAAAAGGAATATACCATCCTGAGAAGGATGTGAAGGTAGTTAGTAGGACTAGTGGTAAAAAAACTCAGTCATCTCATAACTACATTAGTAGAAAGGCATCTGATTACATGCGAAAAATTATCTAAAACTATAATTTCCAACCCCCAGCGCCCTTTCTATTCCCAACTTTCTCCTTGCATCTCATCAGGTAAAACCAGAAATCAGTACAAAATAATATATGCTCGTACAATCAAGTACAGAAACTCAACGATACCAAATTTGGCCCGCGTTCTAAGTGGCAGAGACAATGTTAAGCGCGAAACCCATGACTTGCTTTGTTGTTAATAACATAATTTTGGACCTTTTATTTCTCCCTTATACTCTCTTATTTCAATACAGAAAATATCCCCATTTAGACATTTAGAAAAGAGAAAGATTGAGCGAAGAAATATTTACTTTTCAATTAGATCCTCATCTCTGGCTCTACTCTAATATATATAGCATTTTAATTACAATACACAACAATTTACCAATCAAGTGGCGATATGTTTGTTAACAATAATTAGTCGGTGTCAAAATGTCAATGGGGTGATAATTAACGAAGAAAAATGAATATATATAATTAAAAGGTGGAAATGGTTACAACACGTGGATGGCATAATGCATAATTTTGGAAAAATGAAGAGCAATTAAGGAATAAGCGTATGCACAGGTTGATTACGTAACAGATTGTTAAAGAAAATAAAACAATTTGGACAATGATAATTTGTAACTAAAGTTGAAGTGGTCATAAGAATAAAATAATTTTTACAAGGATAACACGTAATTAAAGATGAAGTAGTCAGAAAAATAAAATAATTTGGACAATTAGGCAGGTTCATCATCGTATTTCCGAACATCATCCGGCATGGTTAAGCAAGGGACAAACAAAATCTATTCGTAGCTCTATTTTAGCCCACCTTGTAGATAGTGAGCATAAGGTTGATGTTAATACTGCACTTAAAATTATTTATCGCATTCCTACTAATCTTAATTTTGCTTTATGAGTTCGTCTTCTACATACAGCTGAAGCAATAGGAATCCACCTGAAGAAGCCAAACTTGTGTGTTCAGAAGAAATTTGTACAGCCACTTTCCTTACCTTGGCCATCGTTACATGACTGTATAAACCGGACTACTCCATCAACCTCCCCCTAGAATAATTTGTCTTTTTAAAAACTATAATTGTCCAAATTATTTTATTTTTCTGACTACTTCATCTTTAATTACGTGTTATCCTTGTAAAAATTATTTTATTCTTATGACCACTTCAACTTTAGTTACAAATTATCATTGTCCAAATTGTTTTATTTTCTTTAACAATCTGTTACGTAATCAACCTGTGCACACGCTTATTCCTTAATTGCTCTTCATTTTTCCAAAATTATGCATTATGCCATCCACGTGTTGTAACCATTTCCACCTTTTAATTATATATATTCATTTTTCTTCGTTAATTATCACCCCATTGACATTTTGACACCGACTAATTATTGTTAACAAACATATCGCCACTTGATTGGTAAATTGTTGTGTATTGTAATTAAAATGCTATATATATTAGAGTAGAGCCAGAGATGAGGATCTAATTGAAAAGTAAATATTTCTTCGCTCAATCTTTCTGTTTTCTAACTCTCTTATTTGTACTCTATAGTGAACAACTTTCTTAATAATAGTTAGCTACCTAAAGTTATTGTAATTGGCTTACTTTTTTATTCTTTATTCTATTCCTTCTTTTGTGTATCTACTAGTCCCGACTATATTAGCGCTATGAGTATCACAAAATTATCCTGCCAATAACCTTCATGTAATATTAGTTATGTGATTGTTTTTGTTTCCTTTTTTGTTCGGCAATACTAAAACTGACAATTTTGGTTGTGAACGCCGTTATCACCATCCTAAAATTTTTGTATTATGCAGGATTACTCACACTACCACAACAAACACTGCACTAGTGCTGACAATAAAAATAAAAAACCCTGAAATGTTTATTTTATGATTGTTTAGTGTTGTTCAGCCGAATTAACAAATCATCTTGGCGATAAACATTCTTGAATATCATTTCATAACTTCTTGTATGATTATAGCTTTTACTGTTCACCACGCATAAACATATCATAGCTTCCACTACCAAATACTGAGATATTATTTATTATTGTTGTTTATTTTCCTTTCTACTTCTTGGTATTTTTTCGCTTTTTTATTGTTTTTTTGTTTTTGTTGTTGTTCTTTATATTTATTTTTTGAAATACTCCTTTAAATGTTTGATAAAATTAGATACAATATTGTAGAAAAAGTGCTGAAAATTCCACACTGTACCACTAGTACTGTTTTTGGAATTAAAGCAAATTATTATTATTATTACGTAAACACACACAGTTGTATAAGTTAGAAAATGTTGGCAATTAATGCATATTTGTCTTCTCTTCAATTTTAGTTTCATTTTAAATCTTTTCAAAGTAAATCAATCGAAAAGATACAATCGGTGCATGATATTAAGCGTTTATCGTCTATAGTCAGTGCTGATATGTTAAAGGAATTTGAAATTTGCGCTATGGCCTGGATTAATCAACTAGAGCAGGTGAGTGGGGTTGTTATCTGTATCGATTTGCACCCAATACTGCTTTTGAACGGAGTGTTACTAGCAGGTTTGGTGAAAGATTTCCCCCTTTTTACCTGTCAACATTAAAAAAGAGAAGATGAGAAATTGTTTGACTTCTGCTTACTCTGCTTGTTATTGTGACACACTGAATATTGATGGCATCTGAGTAATTATTAGTGGGTATGTACTATCCTTCAAACGTTCTACATCAAGTCTATAACATCACTTCACTTTCACTTTCTGTTATTCTTTAACTTTGAAATCCATTTTGGCTGATTTCTTCCTAAGTAAATTCTGTATAATGAAGGCTAGGGTAGCATACATTAACTTGAGCCACCTCTGGCGCCGTCGCGACGTTAGCCTGGCTTTCAAAAGTCGGGTATACAATGCTTCGTTGCAGGCTGTCTTGCTCTACGCCTGTGAAATCTGGCCTCTTCGAGTAAGCTGAGGATGTGCGGCGGCGACTCTGCGTGTTCGATCATCGCTGTCTCTACAGGATTGCTTGCGTTCGATGGATGGCATTATCGCATGAGTAGTTCTGAGGTTCGGCGGTGTGTGTGTGTGTGTTTGAACACAGTGGAGATCAACATTCATTGAGTTTCGTCATTATCTGGAAGCACCGGCTCTGGTGGCTTGGACATGTACAGTGAATGTCAACGCGTAGGCTTCCGTACAGGTCTCTTTTTGCTGACCAGCCCTGGGACAGGATGGAAAAGGCGGAGGGCTGGTCAGTCCATGACGGGGCGTTGTGGGATGAAGGATGTTTGAGTTAGATTAGCGTCATTGGTTGGTGCGTCACGACTCCCTGGTTAGGGTCCGCGAGATAACTCGGATCGATGGCTCGAAATGTTATCGCATATGGCCAAGAATCGCAGTCATCAATGGCGAACGTGTTGCAATTTCCTTCTTTCTTTCCTTCCCGATGATAGTTAACGAATACTGTTTGAATTTGTTAAGCATGACTGTTTTCCTTCCAGATGAAGTTCTTTATCCGTTCTCCACTTATATTTTTTTTTACTTTTAATCTATGTTGTTTTATTATTAATATTGTGTGGCGCATCTTTCTTGGTGCCATGTTGTACCAAGTTTTTTTTTTTGCGTTTAAATAAATAAAAAATCAAGTACACTAGAAAATGGACCTTTGAACAACCCTATCAGAAAATTCATAAATTAATTACTGGTGTATATGGATGACACATTCATTCTTTGTGATACTGATTCGGATAGGAGTAGAATAATTACTGAATTCAATGAAGTACATTCTGCCATGAAATTTAAGTGCACAGAGGAGTCCCAAAATAGAATTACCTTTCGAGACATTAGCCTTACAAGAAAACCAGGTTGTAGTATAAAGAGAAATTCACATATGAAAAGTACTTGGACATGACAATATACACACACATTTTCACAGCTTCATTCCTCTCAAGTACAAAAGAAATTTGATGAAGACCCTCAGCCACAGAGTTAGTTACAGCTATATGGTCAGAAGAACTAATTGAAGATGAATTAAGCATTGTATATGATACTTTGATCGAAAATATCTATCCCAACAAATTTATCAAGAAACACATGACAAAGAAAGCGGCGGAAAAGGACTACTCACTCACCACCTGTAAACAAGAAGCCTCTTTATATACGACCACAATTCTAAGGCGATATACTGAGTGAGATAATTACGAAGAAATTAAGAAAATCTGTTCAAAGAACTTTTAATGCTGGCTAACTACACGTCTTATTCTCTACACGACCGATGGTGATTCCCCCACTGAAAGATGAAGTATCTACACTAGCTGGCCACTTTAAATTGTGTCTACCAATTCAACTGCAACTGTGCTTGTGGTGGAGCGAGTTATATCGGCCGTTGTTGCTCTAGGAACTTGATTTTTCGTGCTCGGTCAAGAACATTTCCCAGTATGGCTAAGTGAAGAAGGTGTAGTGAAAACCATCAGCAGTTCGATATTAGACCATCTGGTCCCAACCGGCCAAAACGCCAGCGTTGAACAATCCATCTTTATCATCTATCGGGTGCCAAATAAATTGTCAAAAACATCAAAGCACCGCAAACTCCAAACATCAGAGGCTACTGCCATTCGCCTAAAACAACCAGTGCTCTGTGTGTGTGCAGAAGAAGCAAGTCTAGCCAGCCACTACTACTGCCCTGGCCAGCCTTCAGTAGAGACTATAAATTCATGAATTTGTAATATTATCAGCTTTCCTAATTCAACTGACATTCAGTTTATTGTTATGTTGATGCTATTGAACTGTAATCCACTATTGGTATTATTATTATTGATTCGATGTTATTTACACAGCAACATGAATGTTGTTCACAACACTAATTCATTCATTCATTCACTATAATGAATGGATATATAACTGTCGAGCCTGATGATGATGATGAAGGGGTTATCGAAATGAGTATTGATTCTTTGTTCAGTATCCATTTCGTTTTTAAAAATTCCTTAACAGGTAATAGTTATTGTTGATCAGATTAGAAAGGAATCCGACAATACAGGTCCTCGAGTCGAGTTGGACTATTGGCGTCGACGGATGACTACATTCAATACAATATTTGAAGAAATGAATAAGCACAATTGTAAAGTTGTCCTTGGTATACTTTCTTCTACAAATTGTCCTCTAGTTAAGGTAAGTTGTCAAAATTATTTGAATAAATACTGTTTAATGCATGAAATGGAATGAAGCAGGCCATTTGATAAGTGGTGTATTCAACACTTTTATGGCATTTCACTTAAAATACCGACCGATTTTAAATGAATAGTTGTCTTGTGTAGTTTTCAATCTAATAGTTTACAACTTTATAATAAAGGTTTTCTTGTATTTCCCAGTGAATGAAAAACAAAACGATATTGTTACTCTTACTGACTGACGTTTCGCTATTTAATGCTGCTGCTAATAGCTTTATCATAGCAGCTATATTAAACCGGAATTTACAAAATCTCAGCATATATATAACAAAGAGTTAAGAGGTGAGAAAATAAACTACTTAGGTCAAGTTGAAAGGAGGACATAGTGAAAGTCAAATAGCAATGAAGATCAATCACTAAACCAGATAACAGACGTAATAGTACATCTGTTATGATATGAAAACAAAGTTTACTAACTTAATCATCGTCCGTCAGTATAGGGTTGTCAAGTTGGTAAGCTGTTATAGATGACAAAACCAAGTGTAGATTGTTGGGTTTGATCAGTGTGTGACGTTATAAAAGTAGTGTGTGTCTGCATAGTGAACTTGCATATCACATTCGTGTTAATTTTGTCACTGCGTTAATGAGGGGAGGGAGGTGTTATAACCATGTCAGATTGTGTTTTAGTGCATCATAACTAACCAAACAAACTTCAAAGTCGTCAACAGAGTAAGAAGTAGCCTTCCTAAAGGTGTACGAATCAGACTTCTTCAAACTGCACAAGCAATGACGATTCATTTGCTAAGCCCTGAACTCTGCATAGAGAAGAATTTCGTTTAATCACTACACTTACAATGGACTAAATCTATCTTATTACCCGACGGGTAAATTTCTTATTTTTCTGTCTCTTCATTAGTATTATTTTGTCTTCCCAATTGTAATATTTTGTATTTTCAACTCTCTTGTTCTCTACCCCCACCCGATTTAATTTATACACCTCACTACCATTGTTACTGACCTGACCAACGCTCAATTTCTAGTCGTTTATGTTACGTCATCCAACTTAAGTGCCCAATTTCAGTTCTAATTTAAATGGCATTATTATCTACCCCGTGCGTCTGTGGTATAGCGGTTAGGACGCTCGCCGACCATGCATATGGTCCGGGGTTCGATCCCCGGCCGGCGCACTCCTTTACCTCACTGAGCCAGAAATAATGCTGGTAAAGAGGAAAGGTTGGGAATGAGGCTAGCAACCCCATCCTGTAAAAATTAAACACTGCTACAGAAACTTCAAGCCACTAGCTTGGAGCCCTATGTTCCACTGGGAACGTGAAAAAAATTATTTTATTTTTTATTTTATTATCTACCCGACTTCTACTTAGTCTCTACCTGTAATTACCTCTGTTGCTACCCTGACCTAAGTTGAAACATTTTAGTCAATTATATTACGTCATCTAACTTTCTAACTCAATTTTACTTTAGTTGCTGCCCAAATAACCTTGTTTCTATATTAGATCATTCTTGTATTACCTGATCAATTATATAAACTTGACAAACCTCTTTGTTATATATATATATGCTGAGATTTTGTAAATTCCGGTTTAATAATACTTTGATAAAGCTATTAACAGCAGCATTAAATAACGGAACGTCAGTAAAAACGACAACAATATCGTTTTGTTTTTCATTCATTGGGAAATACAAGAAAACCCTCTTTATTATAATGAATATCATATACCACCCAATGGCCAAATTTTTTCAAACTGTTTAAAGTGACCTCGGTTTGGACATATATAGTTTAAAACATTCGCTTGAATCGACCGGCACAGAACTTCTTTTCTTTTTCTGTCATGGAATCTCAAGATGACTAGATGTAGGATTAATCTGATGTGAGTGAAAAATGTCAGTTTTGAACTAACAAAGCATGCGTTTGAAACTCTCAGCAGTACAGAGAAGTGTAGGAAAATTTCGTAAGATTGGATTCTTCTCCTATGCTCTGTATTTTTAAAGCGTATATATATATATATATATATATAAGCGTTGGTGGCTTAGTGGTTAAGACGCTCGCCGACCATGCACATGGTCCGAGGTTCGATCCCCGGTCACCGACTCACTCCTTTACCTCGCTAAGCCAGAAGTAATTCTGGTAAAGACGAAAGGCTGGGAATGAGGCTAGTAACCCCACCCTGTAAAAAATAAACACTGCTACAGAAACTTCAAGCCACTAGCTTGAAGCCCTATGTTCCACTGGGGAAAGTGAAGGATATATATATATATATATACATAAGGCTCCTTATCTTTATATATTAAGGTTATTGTTAAGCGCTGTAATTTTGAGCGGTGTAAGGGTACTCATCTTCTAGAAACTTCTTTCATCCTTTAAGTAAATCAATACATATCATCATATCTTGCTTAAAGCAACAACCGACTAGCTGGAATTACAATGTTACACAGTAATATTAACTGATGACCACATTTCGAGCACAAATTATTGCCCATAATCATATCAAGTTACTCACACAACTTTCTTGTTTCCTTCATTTATATACATGTGTGGAATTGATGATTAGACATTTGAATACAAATCAGTAATATGGGATAATGTACATTCAGAAATAATAATAATATGAGTGTTATTGATCAATTACAATCACATGGGAAATAAGACGAGGGTTTTGATAGTCATAATAAGTAACTTCCTAGAATGTTGTGATGTACGTGAATTGAATTGAAATAGAATACAATTTAAGGTTATTTATTATCCTCCTGTGATTTCACTGACTGACTGACTGGTGGTAATAATATCTTCCATGCATATCTCTGGTATTTGAATTGAGTCATTTCTGTTGCATGTGTTGGGCATAGACTCGGTGAACCGAGCAGGATTCAGTAATCAACCTCTCTCTATCTCCACCTACCTATATTACTTCTTAGAATTTTAACCCTTATGTTCTGACAATCTAACTACTGCTGGTCTCCTAGTTTGATCTATGTAGTTGTAGTAGGGTCTCAGATGTCCCCCTACTTATATGGTATAACAGTAGGTGACTTATATTCTCTATTGTTTATGTTATCACTACTAGTTTCATAATTATTTTTATTTTGCTTACGGCCTTTTTCGATCTCCCTAACGAATTTTACGGGATACTTAGTTATTTAACACCAACGCTTCTTCTATCTGTTTTCTTTCCTCAATTAGGTCTTTTTTATGCAACTTAGTGTTACTGCTCGGTCTGCTAAACATTTAACTAAGCCTGCCTTCACAGACAGATAACGGATGAGATGAATTAAAGTCTAAATGTCTATTAGAATGCTTTGGTTTGGTGTGTGTGTGTGTGTGTGTGTGTGTAAGTAACTTGGAACTAATGTGAGAAGTATACAAGGTGCGCATACATTTTTAATTTATTACCATGTCACTCAACAACCATTGTAGTTATCAATCACTTAATGAGACTGCCAAACAATTGGTCTCTAGAAGTCCAAAGAAATGTGTTTAAAAAGTGGAAGAACATTAAAACTATAATGATGGGCCGAAAAATAAAAAAACTTCCTATGTATCTATCACTGGATACTTACTACCTTCTTATCTGTCTGGTCTTCGGTGTCCTCTTGAATCAGTTTATTTGTGTTTAATTCAAAGAAACTAAATTACTTATTTATAGACCAAGAGTAGTAGTTATACAATTGTTTAACTGAGTTTCGAAACCTCAGAACAAACAAATCTGTGCAGAGTAAGAGAATTTTCGGTAAGTTTATTGTTGAGATGAAGTGCAACTTGAGTAGGATATAGAATAATGCAAACAGATTCATGCAGAATATTAAAGTGAAGGCTTGACCGAGGCGGAGAGAGGGGGGCTGGGAAAGTCAGTCAGCATCAAAACTGAGCACTTTTTTTTCCTTCACGTTCCCCAGTGGAACATAGGGCTTCAAACTAGTGGCTTGAAGTTTCTGTAGCAGTGTTTAATTTTTACAGCATGGCGCTGCTAGCCTCATTCCCAACCTTTCCTCTTTACCAGCATTATTTCCGGCTTAGCGAGGTAAAGGAGTGAGTCGGTGACCGGGTATCGAACCCCGGACCATGTGCATTGTCGGCGAGCGTGCTAACCGCTGTGCCACCGACGCACAAGACTGAGCACTACTTATATGATATTTGGTTACTTTCCAAATTCAATTCAATTAGAACACCACTGTGCGTTGGTGGCACAGTGGTTAGGACTCTCGCCGACCATGCACATGGTCCGGGGTTCGAGCCCACGCCGACGCACACTTGATATCTATGGTCGGCCTGCGAATTTCGGGCTACTGATATACACGCTGAAAATTCCACACTTGTCCCAAAAATACGGTGTGGAATCAAGCTGTAATCAAAAATCAAAAATAAAAATAAAAAAATAAATATCAAAGGTCGAGCAGCAGCAGACGACCAGGTAGGTGAATGAAGTAGGCTGACTACGAACATTACAACTAATTGAAGCACCTCACTTAAAGAGTAGTCTACAGGACGTACAAACCATGAGTAAGTATACTCTGCAAAACATAAAATCCAACCAAAAAGTTAACCAACTTTGAGAATAATAAGCTCAAACAAAAAATCAGTTGGGTAGGCTAGATTCACATTTCGGCATTCACCGACTTTAAAAATAACATTAAAGCAGAGACTAGAATGTCACTGAGGTGCTCTTCCTAGTTAAAGAAGAAGAAAAATGACAAACAAAACAAACTGACATAGGACGTCTGAAATTTCTAGAATTGTCACCGAATATTAAATCTTCTTTTGTTTAAAACATAAAAGTTAGCAATCAATATATGTGTAAAACTTGGTCACTGTGGTAGTAAGAAATTCCATGTTAGTTTGTTTATTAGATGTATCACACACAAACAGTGAAAACAGTATTAGTATTACTCACTGGATGACAAAGTTTCGAACACAACTCATTATTGCTGTTCATAATCATTTCATTAATTGTCAATAATCACACGACTTCGAAACTTGAGTTTTACAGTTTTCTTTGTCCTCTCCTATTTGTCGTCGAAGGGGTAGTAGAAATTTCCAGATATCCAGCTGGACAGGTGTTGAATCATTCCTATTACACGTATTCCCCCGTTTCAATTGATTCGATAAACAAAGCTGCCGCTCTTATCAATCTCCCCTCCTTACACCCAGTTGTGACATTTGATTTTAAAACTGTCATCTTATCCCATCATCCATCCTATTGCATGATTGTGTGCCATTGCACGTAGTGACTGCTATACCTGAAATATTCTGTAGATTTCTTATCTTATTCGGGTCAAACAATCTAGATCTAGCTGCTGTGTTTTTATGTTCGGCTAGTCTGACTCACTGACTGACCCTGTTCTACTAGTTTGAACCATCTATGTATTTGACCTGACAATCATTCCAGCAGGCGGGGTGTTAGATAAACTAAATTGTTTTTGTTGTAAAAGCTCCACAGGATTGATCTTTCAACTGAAAAAGCTTGTTTCTAGTTGAGTTTGTGGGGAGGGTTTGAATGGCAGTTACCTTTATTCCTGTCAGCCTTGTTAAGAATTCTGTGTGGGGTGGTTTCCGAGGTTCCTTCCTTGTATGGAATTACCACTGTTAGTTTAGATTCCTTATTGTTGGTGCTGTCTTGCGTACATTTTACTTGCATGTCTTCATAATAATAATTATTATTATCGCTATCGGTACTATCATTATTTATTTTATTTTTACATTTCCCTACATATTTCCTGACTAATTTATCAGGGTAATTATTCAGTTTCAAGGCTTCTTCTATGTGTCTCACTTCCTGTCTTAGACTTTCCTTGGTACTACTTAGTTTTTGTGCTCTGTCACTTAAACATTCCATCAATCCTATTTTTACTGACATAGGATATGTGGGCTGATCGGAAGTCCAAATATGTGTTTGAATGTGTGGGTTTCCTGTAAACACACACACACACACTATTGTGTGTTTAACTTCCCATCTTCTTTCCTTTTTACGTCGAAATCTAACATTGGAAGCTCCCCGCTTCCTGACTTTCCAATTCATAAGTGAATTGTTTATCGAATCAACTGCAATTACATGTAATAGGAATGATTCCAAACCTGTCCAGCCGGATATCTGGAAAATTCTGCTATCCCAATGACGCCGACAAATAGGAGAGGACAAAGAAAGCTATCAAACTCAAGTCTCAAATTCATGTGATTATAATTGATGAAATGTTAATGAACAATAAATCTTTTTCGAAACTTTGTCATGCAGTAAATAAAACTGTTTCACTGTGTGTGTGTGTGTGTATCTGGTACATCGAATAAACAAACTAATAGGGAAAAACCTTAGCAATTTTTTGTCGTCCTATGGGGAAAAACAAAACCTGCAATTTTAATATGTAGTCATCAACCAACGACTGGTGTACTCTGTGTCCCCATATCATTTTTGTCCGTCTGAGGGTTGACTCCATCGATTTTTGTTGTCTCTTTTTTTAAATACTACAAAATAAAAGTGCTGTGTACTTTCTTTTCTTTTCAGAAATGGCATCAACTCGAATCCATAGTGATGGATTATACAAATGAAGCAAAAAATAATATGAAATTTCTGAATACCATAGAAGAATATTGTGAGCCGTTGTACAGATGTGATCCAGTAGGTTCACGCTTCTACCATTTTTATTATATTACTCATAACTTACGATATCATGTACATACACTGGACTTCTAAGCTACGTCAACGGGATACTGAATATTATATTGATGAAATTTGTTTAGAACTAAGATATGGTGGAATGCTTGGCAGCCATGTGGAAGGTTTGTGTTTGACTTGAGACCGGTACACGCCTTGAAACTCACTTGCTTTTCTAGACTGTAGAAAAACTGGTAAAGAGGAAAAGTTGGGCTGGAGACTACCAACGCCACCTTGCAAAAAGATAAAACCATATCTACTAAAATTTAAAATCCTGAGGCTTTATGTTTGACTCGGAAAGTTAGTGATGAAGAAAGGATGTGGTGATCATGCATAAATGATAGGACATTTTACTTATTGATCCTCCGAATATGTATATATATATATATATATATATATATATATATACAGTTAGATAAATGGGGTTGCAACGGGTTCATCAACAGCACCTCCGATTGTCACAAGCCTGTTTATGAAAGCTCTAGAAAGAAAAGCCTTGACAAGTTTTAGTTGTCATCCTAGAATATGGTACAGATATGTAGATGGCACATTTATCATCATAAAGAAAGCTGAAAAAGAAAACTTTCTAACAGAGATTAACTTAATCTCAGAATATATAGTCGGCTGAGGGAACTCTAAACTTTCTTGACTGTCTTGTTATAGAGACAAACTGACGAGAAACTAAAGTTCACGATACCCAGGGAAACGGAGACATTCCGACCAGTACTTGGATCTTCAATCAGATCATCCAATGGGAATGAAAGTTTCAGTAGCCTGAAATCTCGTTATAACAGAACTAGAAACATTATAACAGATAAAGGATGATGGTATGGAGAACGAGATATCCAATATAAAACAAATTCTGATTGTAAATGGTTATGAGGAAAAGCTGCTAAATAATTTTATCAATAAAAAGAAGCTTAAGAGAAAACAAAAAATTGAAAAATCTTGACTACCGACCGATCAGTGACAGCCATTTCATATCGAAAGGACACAACTGAACAACTTCATAGACTATTTACTTCATACAATGTTGAAGTCTATTTCAATCCCTCTAATTCTCTAGAGAAAGCTTTGGTGCATGTCAAAGATATAGTTCCAGAAATGTCACAAAGTAATTGTGTCTATACGATAGTGTTCAGAATGGGAAGCTTGCTTTGTAGGGGAGAGCAGTAGACAGGTGATGGTCAGAGTGAATGGACATAGACTATGCACGAAACGTCCACGTAGAAATGAAATAGAATTAAAAAGTCTAGAGAAAAGATCGGTTATAGCAATGCATGCTGTCTGTCTATGGACAGCGGACATAAGATTGATTTCGACAATGTCGAAATTCTAGGGTGAGGATTTCATTCAAAACATAAAGAAAGGTTGACTTCTGAAGGCTTGCACATCTGAGCCACATCGAATGCAGTAAATAGGAAGGAGAGAAGCGGTAGACTTATCACCTACCTATATGGCAAACTCTAATAAGGCAAGACAGATGAAAAAACAACAACAAAAACTTCTACGAAACTCCATGACCTTATAAAAAATGTATTATCATGATTGTCACACATGTGAATTGACGTCCCGTTGCATATGACAAATAACATACGCTCACACACACAATGACAATTTGACATTAGCCATTACAAATATATGATTGATGACTGAAGAAGCTCTGACAGCTTACACAGCGAAACGTTCAGAAAACAGATCTTGTTTTGATTTTCACTTAAACACCCTGAGATTACTTTGAATATTTTATAATGAATCAATCTGACTTGGCGGTCAAATTGTTTGCAGGAAGTTCGTAGTATCTACGGTCTGGAAGCTTATAATCTAATAAATATACTTAAGCACGAGTTCCTTTCGTACACGTTTAAATTTACTGGCACAAAAATGTGTACTTATAATATCCCTAGTAGATATTACAGTACTACTGTATCTCTACGATACATACCAACACTGGTCAACTCTAAATGTAAAGTAATAAATACTGACCCTAGTTAGGTAAAACTTTAATTCTTATGAATTTTTCCCGAGACATTGAATACAACTCACTTTGAGGAATTTTTATCACAGTGTTATGTACTCGTCGCTAAATTATTGTTATGGACTGGTCGAGAAACTAATAGTCCTGACGCGAGAAGGCGGAAATCAGAAGACCACTAGGTTTGCGATGATACTTCTATTGTCCAAACACAAGGAGACGAAAATAAATGGTCTCACACCAAAGTGGTAAGTAAGTAAAGTAGTTGTAAAGTAAAGTAGTTCACACAAATTGTGAATGCGAATATATATAAATAATTCAGACAAGCGTGGGAAAAATCATTAGACAGTCTTAACATGAATGGCTAATTATAATGGAGTGTCGATCCAATTATACATAGCGAATATAGCAGACATGCCAACAAACATATATGGATATATGTCACCAAGCAACGGACTGTCAACAAACACTCATATTATATATAATATAATATAAGGAGAATACACATTATTAAAGGAGACAAGTCCATACAAGTGAAGTGGTCACAGACTAACCGAGCAAACAGAAAGAGAGACCAACATGCACACACACATAAATATATATATGTGGATACATATCACCTCCCCTTTTGAGAAGATGGATGATTAGTAGGATGTTTACCTGGGGGTTTATCTGGGACCTTTGGGCTTGTTGTTGACGCCTGTCGTTTCGTCTGATTGTTGGGTTTGCGGCTTCGGCTCCGTCCGGAATTGTCTAGCATTTTATGCTTCTTCACTGTATTGCGTAGAGAATTTAGTGGGACATCAGCCAGATGCAAACGATCGAACCAATCAAGTCCCAAAACATTTAAATCATTCTTCGTGACGTAACAAATTCCTGTGAATTTGGTATTGCGGAAGGAAACAGAACATTTGAGTTCACCAATTAGTTTGAGCCGCCCACCACAGGCGCTGAGAAGAGACTGGGAAGTATTGGTGATAGGTGGTCTGCCAATATAATTCCAAAGTTTCTCTGATATAACAGTAATATCAGAGGCAGTATCTAGCTGCAGACGAGTATCATGACCATTCATCTGAAGGTCAATATATTTCCGCATAGCTGGTGTTGTGACTTGACAGGTTGCACGTAGACTCAGTGATCTTTTTGGAGATTTAGGACCAACATTTTGTTGAGCTTTTGCTGGATTTTGATATCTGGGTTTGCGTGGCTGACAAAAACCATTTTTATGACCGATGATGTTGCACTTGCTGCAACGATGATTTTTGTATGGACAAGACTTTACAAAGTGCCACGCGCCACAATGCCAGCATGGTGATGGTGGGGTCTTCTTTGCAGTATTTTGTGAAGTTGGACGAGTATGTATAGATTTCCGCGGAACATTAGGAGAAGTAGGTGGGTCAGGAGTAGCTGATGAGAGATTTTTGCTCTTGCGTAATGCACGAATATCAGAGCTTCTCGGAGGTGTTGATTCGACCAAGTGTGTGTCTTTCTGCAGATTAATCAGCCGTTGATATTCATCAGCTATGTCATGTAATGTTAACTTGGGATTTTGTTCTAGCTGATTGAGCAGTCGAGTTCGGATATCTGTGAAACGAGGAGATTGGAGACTGCATATGAGAATCAAGGCTTTGAACTGATCATCTGTTAAGGACCTGAGTCGAAATCTCTCACATTCTCGGTTGACTGTGCCAACGTGAGTAAGAAAATCATCATTTTCATTCATTGCCAGCTTGAGGCAACGATAACGTATACTGAATAATGAGGAGTGGTCTCCGAAATGTTCACGCAGCAACTTTATTGTATCATCGAAACAATTGTCACGTGGTTTCTGTGGTAAAATTAGGTTGCAGTACCGTTCATATTCTGCCGGACCCAATTTACGTAGCAAAACTCGCACCTTCCAGGCATCGTCTTGTGAGGCGAGATCAACAGTGAATAAATCCTCATAACGTTGATACCATGTGTCAAAAGTGACATTAGCCTCTGGGTCATAATTGAACTGTGAAATGCTGTTCACAATTCCGTCGACAGATGGTAGCATGGTATGATTGGGATTGCTTGAAGGTGAAGCTGGACCAGTCTGTTGGTTGACGAACATTTCCATTAATTTCAATTGTTGTTCAAACAATAATTCCAATTTAGAATAATCCATAGTAAATTGTTATGTTGCTGCTGCTGAGTGGTTAATAGTAGTTTTTTTCCCCGTCGCCAAATTGTTATGTACTCGTCGCTAAATTATTGTTATGGACTGGTCGAGAAACTAATAGTCCTGACGCGAGAAGGCGGAAATCAGAAGACCACTAGGTTTGCGATGATACTTCTATTGTCCAAACACAAGGAGACGAAAATAAATGGTCTCACACCAAAGTGGTAAGTAAGTAAAGTAGTTGTAAAGTAAAGTAGTTCACACAAATTGTGAATGCGAATATATATAAATAATTCAGACAAGCGTGGGAAAAATCATTAGACAGTCTTAACATGAATGGCTAATTATAATGGAGTGTCGATCCAATTATACATAGCGAATATAGCAGACATGCCAACAAACATATATGGATATATGTCACCAAGCAACGGACTGTCAACAAACACTCATATTATGTATAATATAATCTAAGGAGAATACACATTATTAAAGGAGACAAGTTCATACAAGTGAAGTGGTCACAGACTAACCGAGCAAACAGAAAGAGAGACCAACATGAACACACACACATAAATATATATGTGGATACATATCTCACAGAAAGTGAAAAATTCTGTCCAACTATATAGTAACACTTAAAAATGTAGCTTCAATGTGCACCACAACTGTGCACCAAAAAGAATGACCACATCTTCGACTGTGTAATAGGTGTGCCTTGATGTGTTTAGGGTGTCAGGATGCGCGTTTCGTCCTATTTCGGACTCGTCAGCTAGATGATTCAAAATTATACGCTTGCTCAGCTAACACATGAGATACACTAGAAAGATATCGATGCTGGAGCATAACACAGACATAAAAATTCAATTAGGTAGGTGACAGTGTAAGGAGTGAGATGCTACGTGATTCAAACAAAAATGGGAATTACAATCCTATTTCAATAGTTTAGCAATGAAGCCTATGCAACACCCGGGGTCATGCATTTAGCGCCCGTTTTTACCTACCGAGTATTTAGGCAGAAAGGTGGCATGTAACTAGCCCTCATACCCACATACACACAACAGGTGTAACTCATTGCTGACTGCATAGAATTGCACGTGGCTGTTGAAAGACATTCGTTCGTATATGTGTAAACTGTGGTAGCAAGTAATTCCATATTAGTTCGTTTATTAGATGTATCACACAGTGAAAAGGTATTATTAGGGAGTGAAACTATGCCTGACTTCGAAAGTATTTAAATTCTCCGAAGGGAAAATATACAAAGAAACTGAGAGAGTTGCCAAGGGATCACCAGTATCTCTGGTTGTAGCAGATAAATTCACGGATAGGTGGGAAGGCATAGCAAATGAAACGCTCACTTCCACCCACACCAAAAGTATGGTGGAGGTATATAGATGACACATTCACTGTACTTTGAACACAGGATATATAGATAGATTTTTCGAACACATTAATTATCTCAAAGGTGGAGGCAATTCGATTCACCGATGATGAATTGGAAAGTCAGGAAGCAGGGGAGCTTCCAATGTTAGATTTCGACGTAAAAAGGAAAGAAGATGGGAAGTTAAACACACAATAGTGTGTGTGTGTTTACAGGAAGCCCACACATTCAAACACATATTTGGACTTCCGATCAGCCCACATATCCTATGTCTGTAAAAATAGGATTGTTGGAATGTTTAAGTGACAGAGCACAAAAACTAAGTAGCACCAAGGAAAGTTTAAGACAGGAAGTGAGACACATAGAAGAAGCCTTGAAACTGGATAATTACCTGGATAAATTAGTCAGAAAATATGTAGGGAAATGTAAAAATAAAATAAATAATGATAGTACCGATAGTGATTAGAATAATTATTATTATGAAGACATGCAAGTAAAATGTGCGCAAGACAGCACCAACAATAAGGAATCTAAACTAACAGTGGTAATTCCATACAAGGAAGGAACCTCGGAAACCACCCCACACAGAATTCTTAACAAGGCTGACAGGAATAAAGGTAACTGCCATTCAAACCCTCCCCACAAACTCAACTAGAAACAAGCTTTTTCAGTTGAAAGATCAATCCTGTGGAGCTTTTACAACAAAAACAATTTAGTTTATCTAACACCCTGCCTGCTGGAATGATTGTCAGGTCAAATACATAGATGGTTCAAACTAGTAGAACAGGGTCAGTCAGTGAGTCAGACTAGCCGAACATAAAAACACAGCAGCTAGATCTAGATTGTTTGACCCGAATAAGATAAGAAATCTGGAGAATAGTTCAGTTATAGCAGTCACTACGTGCAATGGCACACAATCATGCAATAGGATGGATGATGGGATAAGATGACAGTTTTAAAATCAAATGTCACAACTGGGTGTAAGGAGGGGAGGTTGATAACAATGGAAGCTTTGTTTATCGAATCAACTGAGAGTGAATATGTGTAATACGGACGATTCAACACCTGTCCAGCTGGATATCTGGAAATTTCTACTACCCCTTCGACGACAAATAGGAGAGGACAAAGAAAGCTGTAAAACTCAAGTTTCGAAGTCGTGTGATTATAATTGATGAAATGATTATGAACAGCAATAATGAGTTGTGTTCGAAACTTTGTCATCCAGTGAGTAATACTAATTCTGTTTTCACTGAGTGTGTGTGTGATACATCTAGTAAACAAATTAATATGGAATTAACATTCTTTCCTTTGGAATAGCAGAGTAATAGACCTTATGGCGCTAGACAGAAATAAACTGCCAAATAAATAAATGAAGATAACCGTCTGCACCAAGTTTCATAATATAATGAATAAAGTAAACAAACATTCATTGCATTATTATTATTGTTACATGTTACCTGGGGCTTGTGAAGTGAATACAGAGACTTCTTTGGTTAGAGTATTACCTGAAATCCGACAGCTTTTTTACTCCCATTGATAATTCCAACTGTACAATTCCAACCAGTGGAATTACAAGCATCAACTGAGTGACACTCCTTGTAAGCGATTAAAAGAGGACCCATTCGAACACTGACGCACTCCTTTACCTCGCTCGCTAAGGCAGCAATAAAAACCCAGTAAAGAGGAAAGGTTGGGGGGATGAGACTACCTAGCGACCCCACTCTTGCAAAAGTGAACACCACTACTACAGAAATTTCAAGCATCTAGCTTGAAGGCGCCCTATGTGCCGCTGGGAACTTGAAGGAATTTTTGATGATGATATGGAGATAAAACTTGGGCACTGTGGTGGTAGAGTATAACTCCATTATGGATAAGATTTTATTTTGACAAACTGTCACACAGTGTATTGTTATACAGTAATATTAACTGATGCGACCACACACTTCGAGCACAATTTATTATTGTCACTCATAATCATACCAAGTCACTCACTCACACAACTTTCTTGTTTCCTTCATTTATATACATGAGTGGAATTCATGATTAGACATCTGAATACAAATCAGTAATATGGGATAATGTACATTCCGAAATAATAATAATATGAGTGGTATCAATCAAGTACAATAATAAGATGGGAAATAAGACGAGTGTTTTGATAGTCATAATAAGTGAGTAACTTGTTAGAATGTTGTGATATGCTTGAATTGAAATAGAATTTCGAGATTTCATCATGAGCTGACATTAGTTAGAAAACCATTGGAAAACCTACAAGGAGTACTGGACAGCTGTTTCGTCCTAGTTTTGGGCTCTTCATCAGTACGCACCCACCTCAATGGGGTTGGAACCCAGGACCACGTTGTGGCTACTAGGCGGGTTCGTAGACCATTAAGCCACTGGGACGCAATCCAATGGCCATCCCATGAATTCTAAATTCTGCTAATTCGAATCCTGGTAGGTGCGTACTGTTGCAGAGTCCCAAACTAGGACGAAACGGCTGTCTAGTACTACCAGTGGCAGGTTTTCCTATGATGAAATCTTGTAACCAATCAAATCCCTACAAACCAACAGTTGAATTTTGAGATTATTTATTATCCTCTTCTGATTTGACTGGCGGTAATTATATCTTCCATACACATCTCTGGTATTTGCATTGATTCATTTCTGTTGCATGTGTTGGGTGCAGACTCAGTGAATCAGGCAGGATTCAGTAACCAATCTCTTTTCTTAGAGTCTTAACCCTCTCCCGCCATGCCATTTTGTGACTGTCTGTTAATGCATGCACGCAGTGCATGTAGTGATGAACGTTTTTCTAAATTCTCTCTTCTTTTCTTTCTTTTTTTTCATTTTATAGGTTGGTATGTTAGAGAGTGTACCGAAACTCGTGACAATGATCCGCTTAGTCTATGAGATATCTGCATTTTATAGTACACCAGAGAAAATCACCTCACTGTTCGTGAAAGTCACCAACCAAATGATATCTACATGTAAAGCATACATCACCAATAACTATCAGAATACAATATGGACAGAGAATCCAGAAAACCTGTTGAAAAAGATTTCGGATTGCGATCACTTGAACCAAGTGTACAAAGCATCATTTCAACGAGTTAAAGCGGAACTAGCCTCCGCTAAACCGAATTCATCATCATCATCATCAAAACAATTCGATTTATCCGAAATACACATATTTGGTAAATATGATTTATTCTGTCGACGATTGCATCAAATTAATGAGGTATTTCAAATGATCAAGGCGTATTCATGTTTATTGACGTCAAAGATTGAAAAATTCGATCCTTTAATTGCACAGTATAATCTGGCTGTCAGTAAACTTCGTACAAATGAGTATAACTTTTTGGATCAACGTAACACTGAAGTCGACGATTGTATTATGGAGTTCAAAGGAAAAATGAATGATATTCGAGTTAGTTTAGCGTGCTGATTTTTATTCTCTTGTGTTAATCTGTTTATTGGGTGTATATATATATATAAATCAATTTGAGGATAGAAGACCTGGAAACTATGTTAATCCTTTTCTAGTAAATTTCTGTGGTTGTCCAAACCATTTGTGAATGAATCAGCTGAGGTTGCGCACACCACCATTTCTTCTGGGAGTTGGTTCCAAGAGTTAATTCCATATTAATTTGTTTACTAGATGTATCACACAGTCAGTGAAACAGAATTAGTATTACTCACTGGATGACAAAGTTTCGAACACAACTCATTATTGCTGTTCATAATCATTTCATCAATTGTAATCACAGGACTTCGAAACTTGAGTTTTACAGCTTTCTTTGTTCTCTCCTATTTGTCGTCGTTAGGGTAGTAGAAATTTCCAGATATCCAGCTGGACAGGTGTTGAATCGTCCCTATTACACATATTCACTCTCAGTTGATTCGATAAACAAAGCTTCCATTGTTATCAACCTCCCCTCCTTACACCCAGTTGTGACATTTGATTTTAAAACTGTCATCTTATCCCATCATCCATCCTATTGCATGATTGTGTGCCATTGCACGTAGTGACTGCTATAACTGAACTATTCTCCAGATTTCTTATCTTATTCGGGTCAAACAATCTAGATCTAGCTGCTAGGTTTTTATGCTCGGCTAGTCTGACTCACTGACTGACCCTGTTCTACTAGTTTGAACCATCTATGTATTTGACCTGACAATCATTCCAGCAGGCGGGGTGTTAGATAAACTAAATTGTTTTCGTTGTAAAAGCTCCACAGGATTGATCTTTCAACTGAAAAAGCTTGTTTCTAGTTGAGTTTGTGGGGAGGGTTTGAATGGCAGTTACCTTTATTCCTGTCAGCCTTGTTAAGAATTCTGTGTAAGGTGGTTTCCGAGGTTCCTTCCTTGTATGGAATTACCATGCGCATGGTCCGGGGTTGGAGCCCCGGCCGGCGCACTCCTTTACCTCGGTAGGCCAGTAGTGGGACTGGTAAAGAGGAAAAGTTTGGGCATGAGGCTAGCGACCCCATCTTATAAAAATGAACACTGCTACGGAATCTTCAAGCCTTTAACCTGGAGCCCTATGCTCCACTGGGAACGTGAAGGAAAAAAAATTTCACAGCTAAATGTTCTCCCAAAGATTATTTCAGAGTGAACTTAATCTTTTATATTTAATCTTAATCTGTTGACTGTATACTTAGACATCCTGAGTCTGTGAAGACTCAAGATGGAAATATTCATTGTACACTGGTGTAATTATCCAGGTGGATTTCTATCTTATGAGGTGACGCCATACATAATCAATATAGAATCAAAGTAATTCTCTTCCCCACCTGTTCATTTTCTTCGTTTTGTGACAGAGAAATTTTTTTGCGAAACGAATATACTTAATGTAGTGTATTTGCTCTTTTTCTCTGTAAGGCATTTCATAAAACAACAACAACAAATGTGCTAATCGATATGTTGCTATAGAAATAAATATCCAAAACATTATCTGCATTATATAAGAAACATTGTTTATTTTTATCCACAGCATATCTTTGCTGCATTACAATGCAACAAATTTTAGATACTTTTATCAATGATATCTTGTACAACGAAAAATGGTGCTAATTATCACTCTTTATGAGATAATAAAAATAACAGAGAAGATTTGTAGCTCAGGTGGATGATTTGCAATTAGTAGTGTTCTCTGAGGAGCTGGTTGGTTTAGTTGCGGAGCTTTCGTCGTCACACACACACACCCTTGATGGACAACATCCCTCCCTTCAGCGGATTTTTTAGCATAAACTGAAATGATTTAAATTTCTCCCATGAGTGGTGATAGAATTGTGTCTCCTTGTAACTATATTTTTGTGACTGGTAGTCGATTTACAATTTTATTCACTTTGGATTTTGAGTACCAGGCTTGTAGGAATTCCCTGGTACTTTTGATGTTTGCTCTGTTCTATATTTTGACATTATTATTGTTGATGGTACATTTGTAATAATTAAGAGAAATGATTTAGAATTTGCCCACAAACCAATAAACTACATATTTGAAGATAACAAAATCCCATTTCTAGATGTCTTCATCAGGAGAACCAACACAGGAAATTTACAAACACAGGTATATACAAAATCAAACGCACTCACACAAATCAAATACTCAACTGTACTAGCAATAATCCAATTACTCACTCACAAAAGAAACTGTGTGCAGACATTGTTCACAAGAGAGTTCAAACACACTGCAGCACTACTCCAGAGTTGAAAAGAATGCATGAAAAATGCCTACTAACGGTCTTCAAAAAGAATGGATATCCACTAATTTTCATCAAAAAGTGTTTAAAATCGAATGAATCACAACACAAACAAGGAACCATCATCAAAGACCACAAGAAAATTCATCCTACTATATAAAAGCGAAAAAATCTCTGAAATAACGGCTAGAATATGGAAACCGTTTGAAATAGATACATATAGCACACAAGCCAGCCAGTCAAATCACTTCATTCGATATTCTGTAAACCGAAAGACACATCCAACAGAAAAAGGAGATAAAATTAATACCATTTACAAAATAAATTGCATGTATGAACTGTAACAGACAACACATCGGTGGTTGAAGTGGGCGTCCCCAGGGCGTCGAATCAGAATCCAGGAACACAAATCAGCTGTGAAAAGACATGACATGACATATATTCCTGTTTCATATCAATCAGTGCATATAGATAATTATGGACATCAGTTTGATTGATAACTGGGATAATGTCGAAATTTTAGACAGAGGAAACACCACTGAAAGTGTATTCAGGGAATTCCTAGAAGCCTGGTACTCAAACGAGTATGCGATTAACAAACATGTTAATATAGACCAAATCTACCAACTGACAAAAACTAAATCATGTGACGAGAAAGTTTAGAGTCCAAGTCAATAGAAAATGATCACTGCATATATATGTATATATATATGCATATGGAACCCGAAAGGGAAGCGATGAGTTGGTCGTCCAAGGGTGACTTGGAGGAGGTGATGTGAAGCGAAGATGAAAGCATGTGGTCAGACCTGGAGCCAAGTGAAAACTTTAGCAGAGAACCGAACGCAATAGAGACCTGCAGCTGAAGCCCTATGTTCCTCTAGGAATTAAAGGAAATAGTAATAATAATAGGTTTTGAGTACCAGGCCTTTAGGAATTCTCTGGAACACTAAGTGTTTACATAACATTATATCCCTTGATGTTTCTTATCATACACAAGCCACATGTTTGTACAATAGAATTATTTCGGTTAGTGTTCACCAAATAAAGCTTCTTCTCTGCTTCTTCATACTTGTAAAATTTATAAGCTGTGGTGTACTGGTTAGTGGAAATAGAGATTGACATGTATACTTGCATTGCTCGAAATCTTCTGATCTATCAACCCTCCGTCTTTACCTGGGTTTGGGATCGGGTAGAAAACTAGCGAGCTAGTAGACTAGGCGTGGTTTTGACTATTTATAGTATTTCCAAGGGTTGGTTTGTAATGATTAAATTTGTTTTTACGAGTTTGACCAAGCACGAATTGATATGAGTTAGAGAAGCATTGGAAAACCAGCCACAGGGAGTACTGACAGACAGCTGTTTCATCAGACTGGTTTGGAAATCATCGGCAGCACGCACCCACCACAGGGGGGTTCGAACCCAGGAGGTTCCGGTTACAAGGCTGGCTAGTGACTTGCTACAGGATGGAGTTTCCTGGAGTGAGTTCTAGTGAGAAGTCGTGTGACCAGTGAGATCTAACCAGTAGTCAAGTATGAGGATGGATGCCCCAACGATGACTACTGATTGGTTGGTGCCAGTCGCGCTGAATGCATCACAAATTGGCAGAAGTTAGAATTCAAGTGCTGGCTGGCTATTGAATCAGTTCCCAGTGGCTTAATGGTCTACCAGTTAGCCTGCCTTTTATCCAGAGGAGCATGGCCTCGAACCCATGGAGGTGGGTGCCTACCGATGAAGAGTCCCGAACGAGGCTGACGAAACAGTTGGCTGTCCAGTACTGCATGCAGGTTTTCCAGGACTACAGAATTAATCATAGTTGAAGCAACACTTTAGTTATTTCAACACAACTCAACTTTCTGAAAAAAAACAACAACAACTCATAAACAACCCAGTAGTTACTGGAACAGGGGTGGTCATGAACTTGAAGCGTCAAGGGCAGATAGATAGGACAAGACGAAAATGAATACTAATGAACTAACTATGAGTGCATAAAGCATTCTTATTGCTATGCAAGTCCTCTTCAAAACCTTTAAACGGAAATCTAAAATCGCGAAGAAAAACAAAATAGAAAATACAGTGATTCAGATGGCGAAGCTGTACACCTTTCGAGATAAACTTATTGGTCAACTTTAAAACACTTATATGCACTTATATGTATGTGTGGCGTTCATCTGTAGTAGAACTTCACAGTGTACGGCATGTGGAATAGATTCATTATAATAAAGGTTTTTGTATTTCCCAACGAATAAAAAACAAAACGATATTGTCGTTTCTACTGAGGACGTTTCGCTATTTAATGCTGCTGCTAATAGCTTTATCAAAGCAGCTATATTAAACCAGAATTTGCAAAATCCACTCAGCTTATATATAACAAAGAGTTAAGGGGTGGGTGAGAAAATAGACTTGACTACTTAAGTCAAGTTAGAAGGAGGACATATTGAAAGTCAAAATAACAATGAAGATGAATGACTAAACCAAACTACAAAGGTAATAGTACATCTTCCCTGGCTGGTATCAAAACAAATTTTACTAACTTGCTCATCATTCGTCAGTATGGGGTCATTTTTCGTTGTCAAGTTGGCCAATCGGTAATGATAACAAAACCAGATGTGTAGATTGTTGGATTTGGTCAGTATGTAACATTATAAAGGTAGCGTGTGTTTACATAGTGAACTAGACATACGTAACACATGCTCTAACCATCTCAGTATATGTAACTTCACAACCTCAATTCTCCTCAAGTTTGGTGAAGCCATTTCCATCAAGCGCCCGAAACCTGATTTCTGCGTTCACAAAGAAGCGGTTATCAGCTTTTCTTTGCCCTGATAACTGGATATTTTCATCTCTCTTTCATCTGAATGCGTGGTGCTGAAAAGTTTCCATCACCTGACCGCATTACAAACAACCACGGATATCAATTCGACTGGGACAATCAACGTTCAAATATCAGACAGAGGAAACAACATCAAGATTCCTAGCCAGATAATTTTTAGAAGCCAACTTGGTATTCCAGTGAATCATCAATCAATAGACACGTTGAGATAGATACAATTTATCAACCGATAAAAAAGAAACCTCACACACGAAGGGTCAAAGTTCAAGTCAAAGAAACAATCAGTTCCAATACAAGCATCCTAGAAGGTATGAAAACGCACAAAAACAACCAATCACTTCCAAGGTGATCACCGACCAGGAGAGACGATTAATAAACTCGTTGAGAAATCGAAAAGCTCACTTCAATTCAAATTGAAGTGTAGACGCTGAATGAAGATGCCGCCTGCCTAGTAGGGTGATGAAAGCTTCGCAAATTAACTAACCAGCCAGCTCAGAGAGCACAACCACATCAAAATCATCCAGGTGAGATACAAATCTTCTCCATCATATCTGAGTCGTTAAATTGCATTCAAAAGTACACCACTGAACCAGAGATAATAAATTTTAACTGCGTAATAATAATAATGATCAAGAAAGTAAAAGGAAAGAGAGTGAGTGAGAAGGGATTTGTTCAACAAAGGAAACACCAAAAATATTTCTTCTGTGCCATTTTCAGATGTATAGACGGGTGGTACATGTTTTTAAAATTGAGAACTCAACGAATGAAGGTTGATAGTATTGAAATTCATAAGATCGCGCATAGTAAAGTGTATACTTCGATTACGAATTTATTAAATGAAATGCATTTTGTTGTCTATGTAGATATAGCTGATGCCAGTGATTGTTTTAGTTCCCTATTACAAGACAAATAAGCCAAGAATGTTAAAATCGCCACTTAAACATGGACAAGAAATCTGTATTACATGATATTAGATAGTTGGAGGCAATCGGTGACAGAGAAAGCCTTGCCTAGAGCCAGGTTTTATGCTAGTTTGCACTCACCGGTCAGTCATTCAGCAAGGAACTCATGTCTCTTCTGAGATTCGAACCTACGTCACTTAGTGAATACTGCAGTCAGAGACGTTACGAGCACTGAGCCAGCTATTCGGGCTGGCTGGCGATTGACCTCCTTCCTGTATAAAGGTAGCGTGTGTTTACATAGTGAACTTGCTTATCATATTCATGTTGATTTTGTCATTTCATGGGGAGGGGGGTGTTGTAACCAGATCAGATTCTGTTTTAGTCCATCATTCCTATTTAGTTCAGAAAATCTAGATTCCACTTGATATGAGGTGCTTCTGATATTAGACGTTCTTTGTGATTCCTGAAGTTCTTCTGGATTATTTCAATATTGTAAAAATCAATTTTATGGTCTGATTCTATAGCGTGTAGACCTATGGCTGATGATTTCTGAAGTTCAACTGGATTTCTCGGTGGTCGCAGAGATGCTCTACGGTGTTCATTTCTTCTGATTACCTTGATTTCTCTTTAGCGATGTTTGTCCGATGTAGATCGCATCACATTCTAAGCATTTTATTTTGTAGACACAATCAGATAGAGAATCCTTAGGGATTTGGTCTTTTATATGGACAAGTTTCCTTTGAAGTGTGTCCGATGTTTTGAAGAAAACTCTAATGTCGGGCTGATTGAGTACTCTTCTGATATCGTCTGACGTCTCTGCTCTATGTGGAATGACGACTGTTGATGTCCATGTTTTTGGAATGCATTTTCGGCCATACTTAATGTCTGTGTTGATTTTATTGATGAAGTTCCTGGGGTAGTTTTTTGCTTGAGAGTTTCAGTGATGCCTGATATTTCTTCTTCTTTTTCTTTCTCACCCGTGAACATCAGAGAGTGTGCTTGTCTAAGAAGACTTGAAACAACTGAAATCCTTGCGCTGATGGGGTGTGATGATTTGAAGTGTAAATATTTATTCGTGTGGGATTTTTTCCTGAATATGGATATACTAAAATATCCGTTTTCCCTTCTCTTAACTAGGCAGTCTAGAAACGGTAGTTCACCGACTTCTGATTCTTCTTCTGAAGTGAACTGAATTCTGGGAGATACACAGTTTATTTTCTCCAAGAACAAATTGTGTAGACCTCGTTTTAGTACTACAAAAGTATCATCCACATATCTTAAGCATATTTTAGGAATGAGTATGCTTGAAAAGATGTTATCTTCGAATTTATTCATGAAAAGGTTGGCGACTATTGGGGAGACTGATGAACCCATAGCAACACCATTTGTCTGTTGCTGTCACACCAGTTTGTAGCAAGCTCTTTGTGTATAAACTAATCACTGTACTCGCTGTTCAGTAGATATATTCATTCCTCGTCTCATTGCTCACGTTGAAAAAAAAAATTAGAAATTATTGATTTTGACTGCGATGACTACAAGTATCATTAATAAGTGGTGAGAAAACATTCAGATACTGTGAATGTTTTTCATAAAATCATACAGCTGGTGGACAGAGTGAAAATTTCCTGGAGTTCTAGTGAGAAGTCATGACCAGTGAGGTCAAGTGTGATGATGGATGCCCCAACGATGACTACTGATTGGTTGGTGCCGGTGGCGCTAAACATATCACGAATTGGTAGAAGTTAGAATTCATGGGTTGGCTGGCCATTGAATAGGACGGGTCCCAGTGAGTGGCTCAAAGGGTATACGATCTTTATACTATTAATGACTTGACTTATTTGTCTATTATACTCTTGCCTAACTTGATTATATTTGTTTCCTTTTAATAACATCTAGCTTAGTTTAAAGTCATTGCTGCAATCAGAAATGAACAAACATTATGATTTACACAGGCTTTTAGGCATTATAGGACAGTTTGAAATGTTACAGTTACCAGATTTGGGCATAGATGAAGCCTACTCGAAATCACTGCATTATTTTGGTCAACTAATTGATCAAGTTGGCAAAGATTATAGTCAATTCAAGGAATCTCCACCTATTGGACGTGATATGCCACCGATAGCAGGTTTGTTTAATGTCTGACTTCCTTTTTCTTTTCTTTTCTTTTTTGCCTTACTTCTTTTGGTATTTTTATCACTTTGTACTGACTGACTCTTAGTTAAATAAACTTGTTAATTTATCATCATTACTATCAAAAGTTTCTCGCGAAATGTTTTACGGTTTCAATAAAGCTTATCGACCTACACTTATATACAATAATGTATAAGCTGCAAATTATATATTGTATTGAATAAGCAGAAATAGATAAATTTATAATACGTAGGTCCAAGGCTATCTCTGGCCGATTGCCTCATCAAATCAATGTATGCAGCGCGATAGTGAGCTAGCCACCTAGTGGCATGGTGGCCACATTATAAACCTTACTAACTGATAAAATTCAGTCTACAGCAAAGAAAGGACTAGACACATCTGTTTGTCTGTCTGTTTTCGACATAGAACTTTGCACCGATGGCCGCCAGTTCAAGTCGCCACACTCCTTCCTTGTAGCACACAAAGCAAGAGAAGAAAGTAGGAGAAATGCATAATAGAGAGAGAGAGGCAGTAAACAGAGGTGTGAGACAAAGGAATAGTGATAATGAAGAACAATATAGTTTCATTGGAAATCAATAGTCACAAGGAGTGGATGCATCTTCGCCAGCCAGGCATCGAGAACGATCACTTTGAGCCGTATGAACGATTGTTTCCAGCCTTCATTGGTTTTTACCGTCCCGAGGACCTCAACCAGTAAGGAAGCCAGTCCACACCTTCTTACGTGGCTTAGAATAACTGTTGTGGATTTTATTGACTGGTGCCTCGTCTATTGATCTCCCCTCCTCCTTACATAGCATTCGACCGATACCTAACCTCAATATTGGTCACAACTTCACAGGGGAGATAGAACGCAGGCACCTATGATCGAAGACATGTTTTCTACTCTCAATGGCCAGGTCTCACAGCTGGCCATAAAGGAGTATGGAGAGGAATGGTGAGCAGTATGCCCGCCCTTTGCTCGATAGCCAGCCGGATATCACGTCTACTAAGCCAGTGACGGCGTAAACTGGCCGGTATATGCGAAACTAGCCCTCTGTATCCGTACTCAGCTGAGATTTCGTCAGAGATCAACCCGTTAGCGTTGGCTGATGGCACTTCCCAAATAAGTGAAGCGGTCAACCAATCACTTCACTTCCTATTTCTAAACTAGTAGTCAGTGTGGTCCAGTCCTGTAACATCATCTTACATTCGGTCGGAGCGAATCGACACATTACACTAGTTACTGACTAGTGTGCAGTCAAAATACCCACTACAGTCATACAGGAAGGAGGTCAATCGCCAGCCAGCCCGAATAGCTGGCTCAGTGCTCGTAACGTCTCTGACTGCAGTATTCACTAAGTGACGTAGGTTCGAATCTCAGAAGAGACATGAGTTCCTTGCTGAATGACTGACCGGTGAGTGCAAACTAGCATAAAACCTGGCTCTAGGCAAGGCTTTCTCTGTCACCGATTGCCTCCAACTATCTAATATCATGTAATACAGATTTCTTGTCCATGTTTAAGTGGCGATTTTAACATTCTTGGCTTATTTGTCTTGTAATAGGGAACTAAAACAATCACTGGCATCAGCTATATCTACATAGACAACAAAATGCATTTCATTTAATAAATTCGTAATCGAAGTATACACTTTACTATGCGCGATCTTATGAATTTCAATACTATCAACCTTCATTCGTTGAGTTCTCAATTTTAAAAACATGTACCACCCGTCTATACATCTGAAAATGGCACAGAAGAAATATTTTTGGTGTTTCCTTTGTTGAACAAATCCCTTCTCACTCACTCTCTTTCCTTTTACTTTCTTGATCATTATTATTATTACGCAGTTAAAATTTATTATCTCTGGTTCAGTGGTGTACTTTTGAATGCAATTTAACGACTCAGATATGATGGAGAAGATTTGTATCTCACCTGGATGATTTTGATGTGGTTGTGCTCTCTGAGCTGGCTGGTTAGTTAATTTGCGAAGCTTTCATCACCCTACTAGGCAGGCGGCATCTTCATTCAGCGTCTACACTTCAATTTGAATTGAAGTGAGCTTTTCGATTTCTCAACGAGTTTATTAATCGTCTCTCCTGGTCGGTGATCACCTTGGAAGTGATTGGTTGTTTTTGTGCGTTTTCATACCTTCTAGGATGCTTGTATTGGAACTGATTGTTTCTTTGACTTGAACTTTGACCCTTCGTGTGTGAGGTTTCTTTTTTATCGGTTGATAAATTGTATCTATCTCAACGTGTCTATTGATTGATGATTCACTGGAATACCAAGTTGGCTTCTAAAAATTATCTGGCTAGGAATCTTGATGTTGTTTCCTCTGTCTGATATTTGAACGTTGATTGTCCCAGTCGAATTGATATCCGTGGTTGTTTGTAATGCGGTCAGGTGATGGAAACTTTTCAGCACCACGCATTCAGATGAAAGAGAGATGAAAATATCCAGTTATCAGGGCAAAGAAAAGCTGATAACCGCTTCTTTGTGAACGCAGAAATCAGGTTTCGGGCGCTTGATGGAAATGGCTTCACCAAACTTGAGGAGAATTGAGGTTGTGAAGTTACATATACTGAGATGGTTAGAGCATGTGTTACGTATGTCTAGTCACCGCCTTCCTCGACAAGCAATTTCAGTTGATATAGGGTCAGGCTGGAAAAAAGCTAGCGGCGGTCAAACCAAAACATGGCTTAACCAGTCAATGAAATCCACAACAGTTATTCTAAGCCACGTAAGAAGGTGTAGACTGGCTTCCTTACTGGTTGAGGTCCTCGGGACGGTAAAAACCAATGAAGGCTGGAAACAATCGTTCATACGGCTCAAAGTGATCGTTCTCGATGCCTGGCTGGCGAAGATGCATCCACTCCTTGTGACTATTGATTTCCAATGAAACTATATTGTTCTTCATTATCACTATTCCTTTGTCTCACACCTCTGTTTACTGCCTCTCTCTCTCTATTATGCATTTCTCCTACTTTCTTCTCTTGCTTTGTGTGCTACAAGGAAGGAGTGTGGCGACTTGAACTGGCGGCCATCGGTGCAAAGTTCTATGTCGAAAACAGACAGACAGACAGAGTTCTTTTGCCTATTGATAATTTTGAACGACTTTTCTACGCCCACCCCATGACCGACCCATGTCAAGGAGATGCCTGGCGACAGCACTGTTTAAAGCATTTATTCCTTTTAGATATAAGCGTTTTGTTACATGTTCAGAAAATCGTAGATATGCCCTTCTTTTCGTCCTTCCAGTGTAACTGCTCCTGCAGATACATGTTTAATTTGTATGTACAGTTGGAGTTGTTAACATGAGAAGGATATCTATCGATTTTTGATTGCACCAGAGAAGAGCAAGTTGTTCGATAGACGGGGATGAGCTTAGCTGCAGGATAGGCTCTTTCTAGTGACGTACTCAGTCTTCTGTTGATCATTGCTGCAATGTTTTCACCTTTATAATCAAGTTGAATGTAAATCGGTTTTTTCTGCACTGTGATTTACTTTACATTTGAGACTTCAGATCTTCTATACTTGTTGATGAACCTTTGAGAGTAACCATTTCTCTTCCTCTGATTTCCCTATAGAGCATATTCTTTTCACTCTATAGTACAGAATTTTGACTAGCCCACGTTTCAAGCTAATTGGATAAAAACTATTAAAATATCAGTTGTGTGCTTTCCAAGTAGGCTTTCGATAAATTGACTTCTGAAGAGTATCTACGGTCTTCTAGGCGTTGCATGCCAGTGTCGAGGAAGTGAAACTTTCCATCACTTTCATATTCCATAGCGAAAACTTACTATTGGCCAGTGGAAGCAGCTGATGAGAAGACGACGAATTAAAAACACTGATGGTATCACTTTATTCTGCAAAAACTGTAGCTCTTGCTTTGTTCAAATTCATTAAGGGGAATAAATGTATGAAACATTAATGACTTTAATAGCACTTAAAATAGCACTTGTAAAATGTGTCAATAAAGGAGAATGAATAAACCATATAACAGTACCTTATTATCATTATTTATTGAAGAGAGTCACTGTCGCAATGTGCCATGTTTGATGCTTTTATGATTACAGACGTTGAATTAAACGTTATGAATCTCCTTCAAGATTAGACCAAATGGGAGAAATATAATATAAATTGGCTTTCGCTACACATCCATCCATTTTCAGAAGACATATAACGATGCACTCATGAGTTGACATCAGTTGGAGTAGCATTGGAAAAAGAGGGGGTACTGGACAGCTGTTTCCTGCTAATTTGGAACTGTGTTTCCAACTCAGGATCTTCTGATTTCAAGGCGAGTTCATAAAGCGATCAGCCAATGGGACTCAGAAGGTCCTGGGTTTGAACCACGGCTGTTATTACTATTATTGTTTCCATTAGTTCCTAGAGGAACATACGGCTTCAGCCAAACCTCTCAACTGAGTTCGGTTCTCCACCAACATTTTCACCTAACTCCATGTTCACCTACATGCTTTCATCTCCTCTTCACATCACCTCTTCCTTCTCCTCTATATCACCCTCCAACTAACCACCAACTAACTCACCGCTTCCCCTTTCACCTTCCACTCAACTGATGACCTGGAGTGTGATGTCACTACTCACTTGATGGTTTGTTTGTTTTCTCAAAGTATGGCGACAATCCAATCCAATCTGCATGGATTTCTTTCTGCACATTTGCTGCACAATTGGTTCCTGCTGGGTCGGGTTCGTTTGGGTTGGTTCCTTAGTTGCCAGAGATTCCTGCATGTTGGTGATGTTTTCCGGCCTGTCGGCGGGCCAGTCATCTGATCTTCATTGAGCATAGACAGGTGTTGATGAACGTCTGTAGTTTGTTTAAAGTGCCCTATGTGACACGCGAAATCCCTAATCTGTACAGTAGCACTGACTGACTTCACATTGGAGTTGAGAATCCGGATCTTATTTTTCACTCTGAGTGCTGTTCATCTGCACACATATTTGATAAGAGTAATGAGAGCTTCCCTTGGCTCCCCCATCCTCACTTTGATGATATCCTCATCATTTCCATGCGCCTTTAGTAGAAACGATACTTCCCAGGTAGGTAGGTAGGTAGGTAGGTCGGTAGGTAGGTAAACGAGGTTGTTTCTTTCAGGTTCCTCCCATTTATGCTGGTTGATTGTTGTCTGTTGGTGCTGCTGCTGCTGTTGATGTTAGCCAGAAATCTTCATCGCCTACCTCTTTTTTCAAATTTAAAGCAATTAGTTCCCTCTATGAATTTCGACAACACAACAAAGAGATGTAGTTTATCTGAAACGTGTAATGTATTAACGTAACACATTTCGGACTTTCTGATCACACACGTACATGTCATACACAGTTCTTGCTTTATTCAAATTCATCATCTCTATAAGGGGAATAAATGAAATGAAATAAATGTATGTCTTTCTGTTACCACCCTGTATTGTTTATTTGTTTGTTTTAACCTTTTTTCATTTTTTTTTCTTTGATAGGCAAAATATCCTGGGCAAAACAGTTATATCGAAGAATTGAAAGTCCAATGTTAATGTTCAATAATAAAGTGAAATTGATGCGTTCAAAGGAAGGCAAAGAAATAACAAAAAAGTATAATAAATTAGCTGAAGTTCTAGTCACTTATGAAATGGTTCACTACCGTAATTGGATTAAACAGGTAGGTGTGTGTGTTTGTGTGTGTGTGTGTGTGTTAATCAGAGATTATAATGCATTCTAGAATGATATTGTATTCTGGTATGATTCTATTAATATTAACCCTTACAAACCAAATTATAGAAAATTAATCTGATGCTCGCTAGTGACTTTCTACAGGATGAAGTTTCTTGAAGTCAGTTCTAGTGAGAAGTTGTGACCACTGAGGGCCAACCAGTAGTCAAGTATGAGGATTGATGTCCCACCGACGACATTGGTTGGTGCCAGTCACACTAAATCACAAATTGGTAGAAGTTACAATTCATGAGCCATTGAATCGGGTCCCAGTGGCTATATGGTATACGAGCCAGCTAGCTGGCCTTGTAACCGGAAGGTCCTGGGTTCGAATCCCAGTGGATGCGTACTGCCAATGATTCTCAAACTAGGACGAAACAGCAGCGGTCCAGTACTCCCTGTGGCTGGTTTTCAATGCTTCTCCAACTGATATCAATCCGTGCGTGATCAAATCGTAAACTAGTTAACTATTGATCTGATTATCTCTCTCTCTCTCACCTGCTGCTCTATAGTGCCCTACAACACTGAAATAGACCTAGTCACCTAGTTAACATCTTATTATTGATACACACGCCACAGATAAGACTATGGACTTTTGGATTTACCTAATGAATGGTTCTCTGCGGTTTGTTTAGACGTGTTTTCGTTCCAGAATTGATGATTTTTAAAGTGTTACTGTTAAATAATATATATGATGTAAATCTAGCTGATAGTTGAAGTGACTGGAATGACAAAGAAAGTAGATAACGGTCGTCATTATCTCTAGTTCTAGCTTTTCGCTAGGAATCTATGAAATTTGATGATATTAGATGGTTGGAAGCAATCGGCCAGAGGAAGCCTTGTCTCGACCTAGGTTTCGTGCTAGTTGGCACTCACCGGTCAGTCAGTCAGTCAGTCAGCAAGGCGTATCTGCAACCTTGAAGGAACTCATATCCATTTGGAGATTCGAATCCGCGCCACCCAGTGAATACTGCAGTCAGAGACGTTACCAGCACTGAGCCAGCTATTCGGGCTGGCTCCCGATTGACCTCCTTCCTGTAGGACTTTAGTGACTGGTAGAATTCAGTGTGCACCAATGAGAGGACTAGATACATGACACTAGTTACTAGTGTCAAATCAAAATATCCACTACAGTCCTACAGGAGGTCAATCACGAGCTCGAATAGCTCAGTGCTGGTAACGTCTTTGACTGCAATACTCACTGGGTGACCTGGATTAGCATTTCAGATGGCTGGGGCATGAGCTGTTCCTTCAGTGTGGTTGCAGATACGCCTTGCTGACTGGTGAGTGCCAACTAGCACGAAACCTAGGTCTAGGCAAGGCTTTCTCTGTCGCCGATTGCCTCCAACTATCTAATATCATCAAATCAATGTGCACTGTGGTAGCCAGCTACCTAGTGGCATGGTAGCCACATTGCAAACCTGACTGACTGATAGAATTCAGTCTGCATCAATGAGACGACTAGACGCATCACACTAGTTACTAGTGTCAAATCATGAGATTATAATGCATTGTAGAATGAATGATATTGTATTCTGGTATGATTCTATTAAAAATTGGTTTGGTTTACCTCACATATTGAAACTCTAAGTGTTTAAGTGGAGTGAGTACGCAGGAGATCTTTCACTCACTTTATCTACTGGTGACAGTACTCATTTTACCAAGACTTTTACTGTTACTTAGTAAATCCTTTCGCATAATATTTAACTTGTTGTAAATAACACCAGGTAGTAGTCGATCTAGGTTTCTAGTCACGTTTAACTATAACAGGCTGTAGCTTTTAATCAGTAACTCTCTTCTCTGGACAACAGCAATAGCAAGAGACAACAATTAGCTAACAGAAATGGGAGAAACCTGAAAGAAGCAACCTCTTTTACCTGCCAACCTACCTACCTACCTACCTAGGAAGCATCGTTTCTACTAGAGGCGGAGGGAACTGACGAGGATATCAAAGCAGCGAGGATCGGGGAGGCAGGGCAAGCTTTCATTTCTCTTAAGTCTGTGTGAAGGTCAACAGCACTCAGAATGAAAAACAATATCCAGATTTTCAACTCCATAGTGAAGTTAGTCAGTGCTACTGGGAGGATCAGAGACTTGGCGCCACGCTACGCCTCTCCGCGTCCCGAAAGGCTTTTCGAACAGACTATAGACTTTCATCAACACCTGTCTTCGCCCAGTGCTTCGCTTGCTGAAGATCAGATGGCCGGTGGGCCAGCCAGAAAATATCACCGACATGGAGAGATCCCTGTCAATGAACAAACCAACGAACCAAGCCAACTCAGCAGGAACCAATTGTGCATCAAATATGCAGGAAGAAATGTAGGTGCATTGGAGTGTATTGTGGCCATACTCTGAGAAAACAAACAAACCATCAAGTGAGCAGTGACATCACACGCCAGTGCATCACTTAAGTAGGATCCGAACGGGAAATGGTGAGAGTTAGTGTGGGAGTGACATGGAGAAGAAGGAGGAGGTGATGTGAAGAGGAGATGAAAGCATGTGGCGGACAGACGTGGAGCCAGATGAAAACGTTGGCGGAGATTCGAACGCAATGGAGACGTGCAGCTGAAGCCTTATGTTCCTCTAGGAAGTATAGGAAACAGTCTGAAAACGAATCAATCATCAGCCTATTACCCAACGAATATGTCGAAATGGAAATGGATCCAACCAAGACGCACCAGGCACAACGTTGAGTGGAACAGAATTAGTAAACAGCGAGTTGAGTATCCGAGAGTGACATGGAGGCGGTTGTGTGTGTGAGGTGGAATTAAAAGCTTGTGGGTAATTGTAGAGCCAGTCAAAGAAGAGGCAATAGAACAGGATGAAATGCTTAGGTGATGTTAAAGCCCTATGTTCCACTTCGAACCCAGGGGATAATAATAGTAATAAAAAAATATCAGCTTCATTTTCAAATTAAGTTTGTTTATATATAACTACAGAAGGAACGGACGAGGATGTCAAATCGGGAATCGAGAATCGGGTGGGGGGCGAGAAACACATTCACTCACATCAACTTGAAACCAATCTGGAAACCAATCTTCGTCACTCAGCCAGCATCAACAACAAAATTCCGTCGGATTGTCAATACAAACACGTCAAGTCAATCAGCTTTTCTATACAGATCAGAAACTTGACGGGTGGGTCACAAAGAATATTTCCAACAGCCTGTTGCAGACGTTACCTTTATCAACAACTGACTGTCTTCGCTGGATCTATCCTGAAGATCAGATGGCCGGGCCGGAAACAATCACTAACAACAAGAAATTATGGGAAGAAACAAAATAAAACAAGAACCAATCGTCCAACGACAGCAACAAATATGCAGGAGAAAGTGGAGATGGATGGATTGGACACTGGCTCTCTGAGGAGGCCGCCACTGGGTGACATCGCGCGCGTGTCAGGCCACTGCTCGAGTGGAACCCGAAAGGGAAGCAAGCGGTGAGTGTGTTGTCAGTGCAAGGGTGACACGGAGGAGATGATGTGGACAGAATTCATCACAGGCATAACTCCAGGTCACTTAACTTGACAATGTTATTTCTCATCTCACCTGTGCGAAAGTAAACTTTCTTTCATGTCAGTTCATCTCACTTAAGGGGTTTTCAAGTTGTTTTCAGCTTTTCAGATCCTTTTAGATCAGTTCAAAAGTCAATTCCCCAAAGTGTTTTGTTTCTTCCCTTAACGTTCCCAGTTGAACAAAGGCCCTCAAGCTAGCGGCTTGAAGTTTCTGTAACAGTGTTTGATTTAACAGAATGGGGTTGCTAGCCCCATGCCCAACCTTTCCTCTTTACCAACATTATTTCTGGCTTAGCGATGTAAAGGAGTGCGTCGGTGGCCCGGGATCGAACCCCGGTCCATGTAAATGGTCGGAGAGCATCCTAACCGCTGTGCCACCGACGCACCAAAGTGTTGGTTATTTGTGATAATGATTTCAACATTTGAAGCGTAATCATTTACCCTATCACGAAATCAACAATCACTTTAATTGTCATATGTTCACTTACCGTCGTCGATAAAGTGTATGCGACTTGAGATATGTTATATTAATATATGTGTAAAACTTGGGAACACTGGTGGCAGTAAATAATTCCATATTAGTTTTGTTTATTAGGTAGATCACACACAAACAGTAAAAGAGTATTAGTATTTACTGGATGACAAAGTTTCGAACACAACTCATTATTGCTGTTCATAATCATTTCATCAATTGTAATCACAGGACTTCGAAACTAGAGTTTTACAGTTTACTTTGTTCTCTCCTACTTATCATCGTTAGGGTAGTGGAATTTTCCAGATATCCGGCTGAACAGGTGTTGAATCATTCCTATTACACGTATTCCCCCGTTTCAGTTGATTCGATAAACAAAGCTTCCGCTTTTATCAATCTCCCCTCCTTACACCAAGGTGTGACATTAGATTTTAAAACTGTCATCTTATCCCATCATCCATCCTATTGTATGGTTGTGTGTCATTGCACGTAGTGACTGCTATAGCTGAAATATTCTGTAGATTTCTTATCTTATTCGGGTCAACTGATCTAGATTTCCCTGCTTGGTTTTGATGTCCGGCTAGTCTGACTCACCGCCCCTGTTCTACTACTTTGACGTATGTATTTGACGAAGCTTGCCACAAAGAAATCCGATAGTAGTGGACCCAACGGAGATTCCATTTATTATTATTGTTATTATATTGAACTTTAGTTATTTTAACTTTAAAATCGAAGGTTCTTCACACATTAAATTTCTTTGACTGTGGTTTTAGCGGTTTCCTAATATCACTTTGCTTCCCAACAACAATTTCATTTCTCACCTTTCATTCACTCTTAATTCACACCCTCTTTTAATTGGGAGTTGTTGATTGTTTTGTTTAGTGTGTAATATAATAAGCTACCGTGGACATTGAAAAAACGGAGTTAAACTCGAAGGTAGAGGCAATTCAATTCACCGATCATGA